GCTCCCGCTCTGAGTGAGGCAGGAGGCACTACAGGGTTTGGAGAGGAGGAAGGAACTGCCCTGATTTACATTTTCTTAAAAGGTCACACTGGCCACTCTGTGGAAAACAGAGTGTAGGTGGATGAGGACAGAAACAGGGAGACCCGATAGGACACTTGCAATAATCTGGGAAAGAGATGATGGCAGCTGGGGAGGACCACGGGGGGCCAGGATGGAAGGTATTGAGAAATGGTTGGATTTAGGATCTTTTTTGAAGGTAGAGCTGACAGCGTTTGGTAACAAAATAGATGTGTGGTGTGAGAAAAGGAATTCAAGGGCAAGACTAAGGTTTCAGCTAAGAAATGGAAGGATGGAGAAGGCCAAGACTGCGAGGGGATCCTGGTTGGAATGTACGAGGGGTGAGGGGCCGGATTTGGTTTTCAACAAGTAGTTAGAAGGTTGAACAGGCAGTTGGATGGTAAGAGTTCAAGAGCAAGGTCTGGCTGGAGACACAACTTTGGGAGCTCTCAGAGTGTAGATAGTTTTTAAAGCCACGAGACCAGATGAGATCACGGAGGGAGTGAGTGTAGACCAGAGAAGAGGGCCGAGTGCCGAGCTCCGGGGTGCTCCACCATGTAGCCAGAGAGCGGGGAGGAGAAACCTGCAGGGGATGGGGAGCAGCCCGTGAGCGGTGGTGAGTCAGGAGGAAGACAGGAGGGTGTAGTGGCCTAGAAGCCGACGACAGAAACTTTCTGGAGGAACAGGGAGCCATCCACTCGTTAAAAGCGGCTGCTAATTCAAGTAAGGTGAACCCAGAAGAGCGGGCCACTGGGCTCCTCAACGTGGAGGTTACTGGTGCCTTTAACAGGGGTTTGTCGGTGGAGCGGTGGGGCAGGAAGCCTGCCCCGAGGGGGCTAGAGAGAGAACAAGAGAGGAGTTAAAGATAATGGGGTGTAGCCAACTTTTTAAAGAACTGCCATCAAGGGGAGCAAAAATCGGGCCAGGCGCTGAAGAGCATGAAGGTTGAGAGGGTTTTTTTTAAAATTCTTTTAATGGAGTATAGGGGAAATTGTAGCGGGGTTGTCTGTATGTAATGGGACTGCTCATTGGGAAAGCAAAAGAATTAATGATGTAGGCAACACAGCAGAGAACTGCTGGCTGGAACAGTGTCCTCAAGGAGGCTGGAGGGGACGGGACACCAGGCACACATGGAGGGGTCTGTCTTAGATGGAGGCACAGACGTTTCATCTGTAGAAATGGGAGAGGAGGCAGAGGATGTGGGCACAGACGCAGGTAGGTGGCAAGACTGACCTTTCCAGGTTTTGCTATTCTGAGGGGTGAAAAGCGGTATGTCGTTGCTGCACGGGAAAGATGATGACGGACTGGCAGTCTTACTAACATGGACGCAGCTCTAAATAAGAAGTCACGTTCTCAACTCCTTCTGCATCTTTCTCTGCATGAGCAGGACGCTGGTTTCTCCCAGGCATATCTCTCCATTTCTGTCTCTGCGTGTCCTCCGTGGCTCTACCACCCACCCTGTCTTTCTCTCTCTGTTTATGTATCTCTCTGTGCGATGCTCTGTCTCCCCCTCCCTTCACGTTTGCTCTGGGGCCTCTGCTTGGGGCCTGGGTGTGGGACCAACTTTCTCATCCCAGCCTGCACTTCCAACCAGAACTTCCAGTTACTGCTTGACAAAGAGCCCCATTTTGAAGCCAAGTCAGGGTGGGGCCTCCTGGAACCTGAGGTTGCCTCCAGCTCCAGCTTTACTTCTTTAACAAGCACACCTGTGGCCTTTGGTCCGTGTCAAGCCCTTGTCTAAGCACCTTCAAGCATTAACTCATGTCATCTCCTCTATGAGGTAGGCGCCATCGACAGTGCCACTGCACAAGTGGGGACACCGAGGTACAGCGTGGCCAACTCACTGGAACTCACGCCACCTGAACTCAGGCAGTCTAGCTCCAGAGTATCAGCTCTGAACCACAAGGAACACTGCCTCTTTTTCCAGTCCTTTCTTCGTCTTTCTCCATTCCTGCTCTCTCGGAGGAGGGAGACGGCCATCTACGGGAGCGCACGTAGATTTGGTCTGGTTGGTGTGTGACTTTCAGCAACTCACTGACCTCCCTGGGCTCCAGCTGCCTTACTGACCAAGTGAGGCGGCGGAAGGCGCGCCCAGCCCTCGGCGGTCCGTGACCTCACTTCAGCGAGAGTCAGCCAACCTAAGTCCTAGCCAATGATGAGCCCTTATAGCAGCACCGACCTGGTAGTCACCCCTCAGCCAAAGGGGTGCCAATGCCAAAGCCCCCAACCCCAGATTCCATCCTTTCCCAAGAGAGAAAGGCTTTTCTGGAAGTGTGGAGCCAGGACACAAGAAGGCACAGGTACCCTGACTTCCCGCACGAGCCTGTCACCTCATTTAACCTGGTATCCTCCCTCCTGCCACCCGACCTGAACCCAGCTCAGAAAGAGTGAACCTGTATCCACTCCGGGTCCAACCCTGCGTGGGTGTGTGTGGGGAATTCCAAGGCGGGGAAGGACGGCGGCCTTTCTGTCACCTTGAGAGGGGCTCTCAGCTATGACCCAGCCCACTCCCAGCAAAACCCTGCCCCACACAGACACTCAACCACACATCTAATCCTCATTATCAACGTCAACACAAAATACCAACTCAGCGGATTGCAACTCCTCCCCATCCAAATCCTCACTCTTGGCCCGTCTCCAGCCCCGACCCAACAGGACTCCATCAACAAACATATCTCCACGACCTGCCCACCTACAACTCAACCCCAACCCAACCCCAACTGCAGCCACACCCTCACCCAGGTCCGTTCTCCTCCCCAAACTCACTTGCAAGCTCGGTGCTGTCATCGGTCCTGTCCTAAACCACAAAGTGTTCTTTTCCCTGTAGGGAAGATTGTGAAAGACTGAGATGGGTCCACCGGACGTCTTCATGGAAAACTAGATGCTATCGGATTTTATGGGGTCTCTGCCTCTTTTATTGTTTTTGAGCTACTTTACAACTCTGTAAATTATAGTTATCTGAGAGCAATGCAAATAATTCTTGTCCATAACTCTGCAAATGAGTTTTGTCAGGTGGAAGACAATGAATTTCCCTCCTCCCTTGCAGAATAACCCCGGTTTCCATCTATTTCTGAATTTGCTTGTACATTCACATTGCCTACACCCATATGGTTCTTTGCGATATCTTACTGGCTCCGTCATTTATTAATGGATCAAAATAAGGTATTTGAGATATACTCGTTTTATATTGTAGGAATCATGGTTAGATCCTTCTTTGAAAACTATCTTTTAACTGGACCAGTTTTGAGGTGAATCCTCACTCCAACCATCTCAACCCCTTTTCCTTATTGTGACACCTCTGCTCCCCCTTTCCAAACTTCATCTCTCACCATCCCTGGCTTTCTTCCAAATTCTGACCCCACCCCAGTCCTCCCTAATCCCTAATCCTGCCCCCTCCACCCCCCAGGATTAATCCACTGCCCCACCCAGTCACAGTTCCAGGAGACACCTACTAGTTCCCCACCCACCACCTGTTCCTCCTTCCTCTTTCCCTTCACCCTGGACCCCCACCTCCGGGGCTGTCCAGGCCTCGCTTTTCCCTCCCCACCTCCACCACCATGGACTACCTCACTCCATCTGACCCTGTTCCTAAAAGTTCCCTGATCCTAAATATTGCTTTCTCAGGCCGATCCTTGCCCCCACCCAAGTCCACGGGCAGCTGACTTTCTGAGATTCCATTCTTGTGCCTGGTGGCTGGGGCAGGGGTGGGAAGGGGCACGGGTACAGTTGAATGTATTTGAGCATCTCTGTGTTTTTTCAGAAGAAGGGCTGAAGATGGAGTTGGTGCTGGAGAGGAGATAGAAACTAGAATTTGGATACGTTGGGTTTAATGTTGAGATAAACTTGAGATAGGCTGTTAGTAGGGTTGTGGCCCAGAAGGGGCATGGTGAACATTACGAAGATGGGAATAGGGTGGAAAATGGCCATCTGGGGACTGATATGTATATATATTAAGGATATGCATGCAGGTTGGAGAGATTAGAAAATGGGATGGGAAATGGGTTGATGTTAGGAAGGGTCCTGAAGATTTAAGGTGGATTTGGGTAAGGAAATGGGCTTTCCCATTCCCTCTAGGTGGGTCTTGTGCCTGAAGGTTCACAGTGGGTTCAGCTCAGGCTTGGGTGGGGCCAGATCTGGGTCCCAGCTTGTCCTGGAAGCTCCACCCCAAGCGGAAGGCCAAGCCCAGGCTAGGGGGTGACTGGCGACAGCCCGCTGAACCACTGGGGGTGGAGAGGGGGAGGCCAGCATCAGGGAAATAGCTGAAGGCGCTGGGGGAGGGAGTTCAGGGGTTAAAAGCCATGGGTCGGGTCTGAAGTTGGAGGCAGCTGGCAGCGGCAGACGCTCTTCACCAGGGCCCCTCACCCAGGTAGGGTCCCAGGGGACAGGAACACAGGGAGGGAGGGGGAGATGTGGGGAACAGGAGACAGAGAATAGCAGAGTCAGGGAGATGGAGAGGGAAGCCCCGAGCTCGGTTATAGAGACAGAAGCCTGCAGAGGCGGAGAGAAGTGAAGCACACTTGAAGGCAGGCGTCCGGACCTCGTCTAAAAGAGTGAAAGGGCATCGAGGGAGAGTGGGAGGGTGCACCGAGGACCAGCCCAGGGGTGGAGGGGCGGCCACCTGGGGTGAGGGGCATCAGGCTGGTGCCCTAGGTGGGTGCACGCCACCCCTGCCACCTCGGATGGAATCTAGGGAAGGTTTGCAGCTTGCAGGGTCAAAGTTCTCAGTGAAGAGAGGATATTCAAAATTGGGAAGTGCAGCAGCGCAGATGGGGGTTCCCGCCAGCCCTTAACCCCACTTCAACTTCTCAGGCCCCGCCTGCCCTGCTCCCCATCCGGAAGCGCCATGTGGCCCCTGGCCGCTGTGATCGCCTTCCTGACGGTGGCCCTGTCAGGCGGTAAGAATGCGCGGGGGTGGAGGCGGGGTGACCACTCGGAACAATGGTGGGAGGGGCTGGGTGGGCGTGTGTACCCCGGGCTCCGCCCACGTGAGCGCGCCCTCCTTGTCCCCGAAAGTCCTGGTTTCCCGGAGAGGTTTGGACGTTCTCCCCACTGACCCCAAACCCCCGCTGGGGCATCTCGGCAACGACTGGCCCACCTCCTCGAAAGTCTTCTAGGTCGGTTCCTGATCGCCCTGCTCTGCACGGAAAGCCCACCGATGGCCCCTACCCCGCAGCAGCCCCTCCCACATCCCAGGCCAGCAGGCAAACACCTGCTCACACGCTGAGGCCGTCGCTCAGAGCGAGCAACTTCACTTCTGTGCCTCGGCATTTTCACGTCTGTCCAATGGGAACATATCAGCCCTCACCCCAAAGGCTTATTGTGAATATTAAAATGAGTTAAAAGCATCAAGTGCCGAGTGCCAGTTAGAAGGCACTGGGAAGCTAGCTATTACTTTATAGTAGTGTTCTCGCCTCATTCTAAGCCCCCAGAGCCTTCTATTTTGTTCTTTCTTCCATCCTTGGGATGGCCCCCCAAAACCTGATTCCACCCAGAGTTGGTCCCTATAGTTCCTTGTCCTCACTTCGAAGTCCCTTTTTGCAGGCAAATTCTCTGGAGATCCCATTCATTCAACCAACGGCTGTTGAGCGCCAGGCACTGCACAGGCACAGTTCCTGCATGCATGCAGCACCCAGAGCCTAGCGGGGAAGGATGCAGGCATTATTCAAACAATTACCCCAATCATTAGTTAATAATTAGTTGCAACTATGAGGTAAGGCCCAGCTAGGATCCTAGAGATGTAAGGGTGGCTGCTGGTCTGGAAGGCCCCCCTTAAGGACTTGACCCAGAGCTGAGACCGGAATGAAGGAGGGGTCTGCCAGCTTGGCACCACCCTTGGCCTGGAGGTAGGGTGGCTGCTCTCCTTGGGGCGGCACTCCCAGGACTCAAGTCCCAGGACTCCAAGCCCCTCCTGGGTGCCGCGCCCTGGGCTCGGAGCTCCACAAGCATCATCTTGTGGATCCTCCACAGCCTTACGAGGTAGGTGCACTATAATTACTCCAGTTTCACAGCTGGAAAACCCAAGACTCCTGAGACAGCTGGGTCCTGCCCCACGGACCCCGGGGATGCCTGAGTCACGACCCTAATCCATGTTGCCTGCCCTTTCCCCCACATTCCTGGGCCTTCGAGTCTATGGCAGAGCATCTTCTTTATTTTAGACTTAATGGAATGGTTAGAGTAGTTTTTCTTTTTCTTTCCCTTTTCTTTTTTCCCTTAAAGCATAAAAGTGTAGTTTATAACACTATCCTAAATGGAAAATAGCATCCTTTGCTATAAATATGAAATAGATGAAAAATTAGTCCTTCACAATGAAACAGAAACTGTGTTTATTGGATTGGACCACCTGAAATTGCCAATGGTTGACCCCTTTTGACTACCACGAAAACAGTGATCGCAATTCGATGTTTCTTACGCCTCATGTCTGTACCATCTCAAATGACCTTGTGCCCACCAGTGATGCCTGTCCCCAATTTTGAGAACCACTGAGCTAATTCCACCACTTATGTAGATGGAGAAGCTGACCCAGGAGAGCGAGGAGACTCTCTGGCCACCATGCTGGGGACCTCCTGTTGCAGCTAATAATTAATAGTAACAGTCCCCACTTACCGGGCACTTGCTCTCTGCGTGTCTTAGATGTAGGATCTTCTTGAATCCCACGACTGCCTAATGAGAGACGAGCTATTATTTTTCCTCCTTTACAGCTGAGAACACTGAGGCTAGCGACTTGTACAGGGTCACCCAGGTGGGAAATGGCCCATTCAGGACTGGACTTTCTCTCCCATTGTTGACCTCTGTACCTGCAATGCCAGACACTGCAGTAGGTCCTGACAATGACTAGTGATTGTGGCTCTGGTGACATGGTGAGGTAATGGAACGTCACCACACCATCCTATAGCTGGGACGGGCTGTAGACCAGGCAGCCAGAGATCAGGGATGGCCTCTGAGGAGGTGACATTTGAGCTGAGCTCAACTCTCAGAGCCAAGAAGGACCCAGACATGTGGCCTTAGATTCGGAGTGTCACTGAGTAAAATAGTTCATATATATGATGTCCTGTCTCGGCACCGTTCAGTGTGGCAGCCGAGGGCTGAATGGGGCTATTGAGCATTTCATATGTGAGTGCTGTGATTGAAGAACTAAATGTTTTATTTCATTTTAATTAATTTAAATAGCCACATGCGAATATTATATGGAACGGCACAGGTCTAAAAAAGAACTGTCCAGAAAGGAAGCAGCCAGTACAGAGGATCAGGTGTGTTTGGAGAGCAGGCCTATGAATCGAACAGTGAGTAAAGAGGAGACAGGAGGGAGATGGGGCCAAAGAGGTCAGCAAGGGTCGGATGATGCAGAATCCTGTGGACTCTGAATTTCGGAGTGGTTAGCCGAGAGATGGTACTTAAAGCCGTAGAGGCACCCAGGAAATACGTGCCGTAGGGTGGATGGACGGGTATTGCCCAGGCAGGTCCGTAGGTCAGTCGGGCTTCTGCCTCCTGAAATCCATCCCCTAGTGGAAGGAGAGAAAATGCAGGTGGAGAGAAAGCCAGGCTTCCACATAGCTTCAGATGCTCCCTCCTGCCACGAGCTCTTCTTTGAAACCCTCCTGTTTGGCACTTCTACAAAAAAGGACGTTTGCCTCTTTGCCCTAACTCAACTCCTCTACATGGAAAATGGCAACTCCCGGAGGTCAACACATCAAGTCATCAGTTCCTCGTCGCCATGACAAAAATTCTGACCCTCTCCCCAAGTCCTGGGACCACAACTCCAGGTGCCCTTCTCCGTCTGGACCCCAGTTCTCTAACATGGTTCTTCTTCCCCAGGCGTCTCTCAGGAGTATCCCAAGATCCTCAATGGCACCAATGGGACCCACGGGTCTCTCTCAGGGGGCTACACCTGCCTCCCCCACTCTCAGCCCTGGCAGGCAGCTTTACTGGTGCACGGGCGGCTGCTCTGTGGGGGTGTCCTGGTCCACCCCAAGTGGGTCCTTACCGCAGCACACTGTCTGAAGGAGTATGTGGGGGCCAGGGGAGCACAGGGCTGAGGATGGGACTGGGGTGGTGGGTGGAGCTAGGGGGCTGGGGGTTGGCAGTGGAGTCCAAGCAGAGGATTTGGATGGGATTGGAGTTGCGGACATGGACGATGTTTGGAGATGAGGAAGGTGGGGTGGGGAAGGGGCTGGGGCTGGGGTGGTGAGGGGCTCATACTCTTCTCTAACCACCCCCTTCCTACACCCACAGTGGGTACCGAGTTTACCTGGGCAAGCATGCCCTGGGGCGTGTGGAGGCCGGCGAGCAGGTGAGGAAGGTGGTCCGCTCCATCCCCCACCCTCACTACCAGGTCAGCCCCACCCACCAGAACCACGAGCACGACATCATGCTCCTGGGGCTGCAGTCGCCCGTCCGGCTCGGGGGCCGCATTCGCGTCCTGCCGCTCTCCCACGAGGACCGCCTGCCCCCTGGCACCTGCTGCCGAGTGTCCGGCTGGGGCACCACCACCAGCCCCCAGGGTAGGCACCTGCTCGGGCCCCCGAGGTCTCAGGGTGGCCAGGAAAATGGGGACGGAGCTGGGAGGGAAGATCAGGGGAAGATTCCTTTAGAGATAAAAATGGAAATTAAATGTATATGTAGTTACGTATAATATCTAACATATACAATCTATAGAGTTATTGTCCTTTTATAAATATAAATTTATAAATATATAGTTATATATATTCTATGTCAGTGTGTATAAATGTATTAAGTTAAATATTGTTATCAATTATATAATGTAGTTATATTAGTTATATCTTTTATATAAATACATGAATATAAATTTATAGTTATATGATGCCATGTATCTCCTTTATATGAAACTGTATAACCTCATATAAAGTTATGTTATGTATTTATAGATCACATAGTTATTATATCCTTTATATAAATGTATATAAATTTATAAGTCTAAAGTTATATATGATATATAATGCTATTGATCATGTAGTTCTATATACCTTATATAAATTTGTAAATATATATAATAGATACTATATATGTGTATGGTATATTTATGTAAATATATACCTATATATAAATATGCAAGTCATATAAATTAAATTTATTTTCTAAATTATAAACTGTATATGCATTTAAGTATATTTGTATATAAATAATATACTTTTTATGGAGATGATACATAAATATATGTAAATAAATATATAACATAAAATAGATTTCATCTCTCGATAGGTATAAATTTATTAAATATGATCAAACATAGCTATGTCTTTTGTGTGTAAATTGCATGTAATGTATAAAGTCAGTCTCAGCAGCAAGAGCCCTTTGCATCCCTGGCAGCCCCCCGCTCTCTCCTGGTCGGTGCTGGGCTTCCCCCCCAGTGTGCCCGTCCCCATGCAGTCCCCATGCCCTGCCCTCTCCACCTCTCCTCCGCCTCACGTTTTCCCCATTTCCCACCCCCTCACCATCTGTCCCTCCCCGTCCCTCCCCACCCTTCTCCTGTCCCTCACCATCTCTCTCTCTCCCATCTTTCCTCACACGTCTCCCTATTTCTTGCCACCCTTCCATCTCTTCGTCTTCCTCACCCCAACTCTGTTTTCTGCCAACTCCCTGTGCCCCTGGCTCTCCGGTTTAACTCCCACCCCACAGCCTGTCCAGGACAGACACCCTCAGAATGGTCTCTCTCTCCTCCCCAGTGAGTTACCCCCAAGCCTTGCAATGCGCCAACATCCAGCTCCGCTCTGAGGAGGAGTGTCGTCGCATCTACCCGGGAAGGATCACGCCCAACATGCTGTGTGCGGGCACAGAGGAGGGCGGCAAGGACTCCTGCGAGGTGAGGCCTGGGGCGCGGGTGGGTTGCCATGGGCCGGGATGGGGCACCGGAGGGCGTGGGCACAGAGGCTGGTGCGTCCGGCCCTGGGGGAACCAGCCTTTTTAAGGTAATAGGTCTCCTAGCATAAAGAGTCAAGATGAAAAGATGGCACCCATGGCTGGCAAATAGAATTCATCTGAAGTCCCAGCTTGACTGACAGTAGCTGCCCAGTCCCTTGTGTTGACACGCATGAAGGTTGGGATCTTTTGGTTTGCAAATGACAGAAATCCCACTCAAACCAGATTTTGCAAGACTGGTTTTGTAACTGAAAAGTCCAGGGGTGGCTTGCTTCGGGCACAGATGGAACCACGTGCGCAGATGACATGTTCAGGACCCTGTGTCTGGCTAGCTCTCCGCTCTTCCGCTTCTGTTCAGCTTCACTCTCAACGAAGCTCTTTCCAGCCAGTAGCCCCAGTGGCCCCAGCAGCTATGGGATTCCAGCCCACCCTCGAAGCAACCCTAGTGGAAAGAGGGAACAGAAACATCTCGAGCATGAGTCTCACGAAGCTGACTTAAGTCATATGTCCTGAGCCAGCACTCTGGCCAGACCTGTGGGATTCTCGGTGGGACCGGGTCTGAGTCACATGACTCCCTGTGGGGGCTGGGAAGGGGCGAGGGCAAGCAGCATGGACTGGGAGCAGGGGAGGGGTTATTCCCCAGGTGGAAACATCAGGAGGCTGTTACCAAAATAAGGGGAAATGGATACTACATGGGCCAACAATACCCTGTGTCTAATAGAGGAGGCTCCTTAGATTGGGTTCGTTCAGTGGGGAACAGTATGATAATGAATTAATGATGTGTGCCTCGATCAATTAGTCATGTCTGCATTGCACCCCGGGGAGAGGTGGCAGGACATGTGTGTTGCAAACTCTATCCAGATGTGCATGGTTAATCCAGTAGTAAGGTGGCACTAAGCAGCCACGAAACCAAATAGGGTTGGGGGCCCGGGGTGCAAGGTGAGATTCGGTACCAGGGAACCAAAAATGGATATATGAGGTAAGCTGTCACCACTTTAATGAAACGGAGAAACAGAAAAATAGGGAGAGACAGAAGTCTCTTACTCTTGGCCTCGATGTCCATCTATCTCTGTCTCCCTCTCTGTCCCTCTGTCCCCCGCTGTCTTCCTCTGATTCTTCATCTCTGCCTCCATGCATGTCTCTCTCCATCTTTCTCTCCCCACACATTCCCATTTCTGCCTTTGTTTGACTCCAGCAAGAGCCCCACCTCTCTCTCTCCCCAACTCAGGGCGATTCCGGAGGCCCCCTGACCTGTAACGGGACGCTCCATGGCATCATCTCCTGGGGGGACTTACCATGCGGGCAGCCCGACCGGCCTGGCGTCTACACTCGAGTCTCTCGATATGTTTCATGGATCCAAGAAACAATCCGAAAATACACAACCCAGAAGCAGAAATGGACGAAAGGCCCACAGTAAGAGGGGGGCTACCTTACCAGCCCCCATCCTCCCACTGTCGTCTGCTTTGCCCAGGCACTCCCGAGGGGTTCCGCTTGACCTGGTGATCTACGTTCACAAGATACCCAACCCCAGCTGACATTCCCGTGTTTCAAAAGCGTTCAGTCACTGCCTGCATCCCCATCACCCAGAGGTTACATCCCTGAAACATGTCAGCCCCCAGTATGACCCAGACAACATTCCAGGTCTCCCAAGTGTGTAAACACAACCCAGGTTTCCATCTGAATGTTCTATCTGTGGAATGCTCTTAAATACTCCCATCAGCTCTTCTCAACAATAGCCTACATACTGTGAAGGGACCTTCCTTGACAACATCCTATACCCATCCAAATATGTATCCGTTGCCAATATTCTAGAGCCTTCTGTGTTTTGTACTCAAGGTTCTAGACTGCTGTGATATTTCACTCTGAAAATATTCTCTTGTGTTGAGAATCTTCTGCCCTGACAATATTCTGTGCATATCTGAATGATTCATCACAGTGAATATTGTATCCTTATAATGGTTCATTTTCACAGAGTTCTGCATTTCCCAATGTCCCATCCCTACTCGCCTCCCACATTCTGCCAATATCTGGTTTCTGCCAGTGTTCCCTGTCTCGGAATCCCCATGTCCACTAAAGATGAATAGCACTGTAGACTCTAGAGTGATGTGGTTCAGTATCTCAAGGTGCTTCCATGCCTGGACCTGTTGTCCATCAAATAGCTGCCCTTTTATCTCATCTCCTCCGTGAAGATCCTTGTTTTATACCCTTGTGTTTATTACCTTTGCCCATGACCCCAGAAATGCAGTGGTTAAATGCTCAAGCCACTAGAGTCCCTGCTTTGAACAAGTCAAAAAGCCCATCCCCTCTCTATTTTCTCATTTGTAAAATAGGGCTCTTCATTTTTCCTCATAGCATTGTTATGAGAATAAATGTGAAGCGCTTACCACTACTATTATTTGCATGGTTCCCTATAAGATATTACCTTATGATGTCAGTAACAACCCCTTAAAATTTGCAGTGTCCAAAAAGTATCGCATTCAAGTATTTCTCTCAGACGTCACTCAGTGCTGACAATGTGCAGGCACTCTCCTGGGCATTGGTAAATATGATCTTGTTTATTCAACAAATATTGGTACCCATCACAAGCCAGGCACTGTTGCAGACACAGGTGATACACAGTGAATCAAACAGACAAAAACTTCTGCCATTGTAGGGCTTCCACTCTTTGTGGGGCGAGACTATTAAAAAAGATGAATAGATAATTAGATTGCCAAGCAACAATTCTGAGCCATGGCCAAAAATGAAGCAGAGATGAAGGACAGGGAATGTTGGGTTGGGGGCCGAGGGGGAGTTGCTATTTTAAACAGGATGGTCTGGGAAGATGGGAGATGGTGACTTTTAAAGAAAGACTGAAAAGGATGGAGGGAGAGAGCTTGGGTGCCCATCTGGGGAGCAGCACCCCACGAGGAGAATGCAGCAAGTGCAAAGGGTCTGAGGCAGGAGCCTGCCTGGTGTGTCTGAAGATCGGTGAAGAGGGTGAAGAGGTTGGTGTGGAATCGACCACAGTAGCCCAGGGAGGAGGTGACGGCTCTTGGATTGGGGTGATAGCCTCCTCGGAGGAGTTAAGAGGTCAGATTTGCATCTCTTTGAAGGGATTTTCACTGTGGGACAGCGTCTGCTGACAACAGATGGAGAGTGTAGAGAGAAAGGAATCAAGGGTGATTCCAACCAGTGCTTTGGCCTGAGCAGCCAGAAGGATGTGGCTGCCATTTACTAAAATGGGGGGAAACTTTGGCAGGAACAAGTGTGCAGGGAAGTTTAGAGTTTTTCTTTTGAACTATTTTTTTAGTCAAGTGGCAATGAACTCTTCCTTAAGGGGATTTACAGAAAGTTAACAAATACACAAACTAAGTAGCTACAGATGGTAATATTTCTATGACAATAAATGTGGTCTGCAGAAGATGTAAACAGGGTGTGGTGTTAGAGAATTAGAGGGGAGGCTTTTTGAATAGAGTGGTCAGGGAGCACTTCTTGGAGGAGGTGGCATTTGGCCAACGCCCTAAAAGGTGAGCAAGAGCCACTGGGGCAAAGTCCCTGAGCTTAACCTATTCCAGGACCTTCACGAAGGCCAGTGTGAGTAGTGTTAATGAGTACTGGAGTCAGATTTGGCCGGAGCCAAATATACAGTATCTTTTTAGGCTGTGGTGCAAGGTTTGGTTTTTCTTCCATTGTGATGGACGGCACCAGAGGGGTGGTGAACAGGGAGGACACCATCATTCTGACTGCTGGGTGGGAGGTGAACACAAGGGGGTGGGGGAGTGGAAGTAGGGAGACCAGACTAGAGTGGGCTGCAGTGATGGGGGAGGTGGGCAGGTGATGGCTTGGGAGATGGAGGTGGTGGGACGAGAGACGGAAATGGTCTGGAGAGAGGGTTTTGCAACAGCATCCAAGCAATTTAGTGTTGTAGTTTGATTCTCATTATTTAGTCATGTTCTATAAAGTTGCCGTGAATACTGAATTAGCAAATGCTTGAACGGCTGCTCTTAGGGAAAATATTGCATCAGATTCCTGCCAGCTTCTGGTCACGTTTTCATCAACCAATCAGTACATAATCTTGTTTTATGTTTTTCTCTAAACACTCTTAATCTATATTGTTGACTCATTCCCACTGAGCTCACAGCCAGCAGCACTAAAACATGTCTGACAGAAGTTCATCTAAGATACATCTTCCCTGTAAGGCACATCACACCCTTTCACTTGGGAACACTAGCCAGCACTTCAGTGCTGCACTGGGGGACATTTTAAATGACAGCATCACCAAGAGAAAAACCTCAAAATATGCAAAACTGTGGCACTAAATAAACCAAGAAAAGGAAACTTGTTTGCCACATGAGAGCTGAATGAGAAGGCAGAAGAACATCCCTTGGGGTGACTCAGACTTTTACCACTTTATGCATGTCCACAAATGCCCCCACGAAAGGACCGGTTTTGGGGTTACTAATAGATTTCAGTGAGTAGGAGAATTAGCACATTTGGAATCTGTGATGAAGAGGACGAACTATGTACGTGCCGGTGAAGGACTGCCATCACCCCTGGGCCCTCTGGGGAGACTGTACTTCAGTGTTGAAAAGCACAGAAGGTAACATCTGAAGGATCTGGTTTTGAATCGAAAGATCTTTATCTTTTGGAGCCTCCATTTCCTCCTCTGGTTACCAACTGGACCCGCTTCTCAGGGCTATTGGGACGAGTGAGCGAAAGATTGGCATTTCAAGGCTTTGCCTGGAGCAGCTTCTCAACCAGTGGAAAAGCAACCTGATGTAGCAGCTGACAACGGAGCTTCTGAGGCCAGGCTGCCTGGGTGTGAATCCCAGCCCTGCCACTTATTTAACCCTGTGACTTACTCACCTCCTCCATGCCTCAGTTTCCCCACCACTTAAATGGGAATTACAATGGTACTTAACACCAAAGGGCTTCAAGACCTAAAGCAAAGGGCTAAACTGTAAAGTTAACAGAAGATAGTGGTAGTGAACATTTTTGTGACTTGAGGATGAGGAAGGACTGTTTAAAACTTCAGAAGGATGAATCAGAAGGCACAACTTGGTTAATCTGATTACATCAAAGTTAAGCATTTCTGTTCAACAAAATACAAGGTAAATCGATGGATGGGGGTATTTGCAACCTGTAGTATTAACCCAGGGTTGCATGTAGAATGTTAAAGGAGAAGAACAGGAGAATTGTGGATGAAGGAAGCAAAAAATCATATGAAAATGTGTATTTAAAGACTTATTAGTTATCTAATAAATGCAAGTACAAATAACATATTGCCTACTGTTTATTAGATGGATTAAAAATCTTTAAAGCTGAATAACGCAAGTATTGGTAGGGATGCAGATACATAGGAACTGCAAGGTGCAGTTATTTGGAAAGTGATTTGTCCCTCCTTGGTTGAATTAAGTATATGCACTCTAGGACCCTGTAGCTCCCCTCCTAGATGTCTGTCTAAGGGCAATGATTGTGCAGGTCACAAAGGGGCAGAAACAAGGTACCCATCACTGAGCTCTTTGCTGTGCTGGAAATTAGAAGAAAGTCAGGTGTGCCCACTAATGGGATGGGGGATAGGATGTGGTACAGGCTACCATGGAGGACTATACAACACTTAAAAGCAACAGACTGGACATGTATGTGAACGCAATCTTAAAGGTAGAATGCTACTAACTACAATTATGAAAATGAAAAAGACTGACAATGCTAAGTGTTGGCAACGTTGTGGGGCAACTGGAACACTTCCACACAGCCGGCTATAATGTGAAATGGTACAACTGTTGCCAGGCATCCATGTCTTGGGGGGGGTCTCTCCCTGTGCACTAGGTGAAACCTCAACTCAAACAGTGGAGGCCTCTTGACTCTGATTGGGAAAGAATTCGAGATCAGGTCAAACAAGTGCCAGCAGGAAAGGAATTCATTAAAGTGAGAGTAGAAGCAAATGTCAGCAGCCATGCAGGCAGCAAAGAGCAAAGAAGAACAGAGGGAGAAAGGGAACTCCTGCTTGGTGTAGGGCCAATCCTTTGCCAACTCATAAAGTCAGGGTCATCTGGTGTCCAGTATCTCCACGGTGTGGGATCTAAGCCCCCACCGTCCCAGATACTTGGGGGAGCTGAGAAGCTCTGGATGGAGTGAGATGATGTTCTGAGAACTTCCCAAAGTAAAGAAAAGAGGTTTTTTTGGGCAGTCTTCTAAAGAATGAACAAGGTAGTGATGGGAATGTGCAAGCCCCTCCCTACTCAGAGATTCCAGCAGCCCCTTCCTTATTTGTCAGAAATAAACCAGAGAGAGGAAAGATTGTGTTTAAGACTAGAAAGCTGAATGAAATAGGGAAGTGACAAAGACACTTAGCACGAGAGATGGAGGTTGCAAGTTCTTGTCTTTATAATTAAAAAGTCCAGAGTGCAGGAGGCTTATGCAGCAAGAAAGTTTATTTGGTAAGACAGCATACATTCAGATGGTTGTGCAGGTGACCTCAGAGAGGAGGCGTGCTTAAGAGGTTTAGGGTTCGGGGTTTTATAGGGCCTTTTGAGTAGATGTTAGCGTAAGGCTAATTAAGGTGATTAACAATACCTTTGAAGTTTTATTTTAAGAATAAGATTATTAGGGGACTGTGTTGATCCCGATCTCAGCTTTCTTTTGGTAGGTTCATTTACACTTCAGAGGTCTGACTCTTGACCTGGTTACAACGTTACTTGATTGAATAAGGCGACTAGAAGATGAGGAAGAACAGCATATAGATTAAGTTAAAGAATAAGTGGGCCTTTTTCACAGGCTAAGTAAATTGTACAGCAGTGTGACGCGTGTCCTATTTCCCTGCTCTATCTCACAACCACTTTGGAAAACATTTGGCAATCTCTTATCAAGTCAAACACATTTATCATACAATCCAGCTCTTCTACTCCTAGATGTCTGCCCAAAAGAAATAAAAACGTATGTCCACACAATGATTTGTGTGTGAATATTCACTGCAACATTATATGTAACAGCCAGAAACCAGAAGCAACCGAGATATCCAGCGACTGGTGACTGGATTAACATTGTAGTAGGTCTATGCAGTGGGATAGGCCACAGCAATGAGAAGGAATGAACTGTTGATAGAAAAATGCAACAAACAAGGGTGAACCTGACATTCATCATGCTATTGTGAGAAGCCAAACATTTATGTCCTAAAACAGGCTAAACTATAGTGGCAGAATGTAGATCAGTGGTTGCCTGGGGCTGGGGTGGGGAGGGTAGCTTTTGTAAAAGGAGCAGAAGGCAGCTTAAGGATGGAGGGAAGGTGGGAAGTGTAAGATAAATTCTAGCCAAAATGAGCAGGCGACGAGAGGGAACAAAGGGCCAGGGAGTTTATTTGAGCGCAATTCCGGGGCGAGATTTCCCAGTCTACAGAAATGGAGGCTGGGGAAGTCGCATTCAATCAAGGCAGGCAGAGAGTTTTTAAAGGTGGTAGGGGGAGGCAGAGCTTAGATTTAGAGCGGTGCGAGGATTGGCTAGCCTAAGGCACATTTTTCAGGTTGGGAGGGGGCAGCAGCCGGGGACTTTGGCACCTCATCAGTGTCTGATGTGCTCACCCCTCCCCCCCAGTGCCTTCAACCTTACAGGAGGGACTGTTTTATATTTTGATTATGGTGGAGGGCAGGTGATAGCATCCAATTTCCAAAATTCACCTAACTGAACAATTAAAATGAATGGATTATGTTTTATGCAATTCCTTATTCAACAATGAAAAATGAAAGAAACACAGTTCCGAACTAAAAATCGATAAAATAAAAGAATAGACTATGTACCACGATACCATTAGCATATATTAAAACTACACAAAACACAATTTGTAAGAACATATGCTAATAAAAAGTACATCACAGTAAATGTACTAAATGTTGCTGAACCATACACCTTAAATGGTTAATTTTATGATACAGGAATTTCTCCTTCATTTTTTTAAAAAAGGCTATGTGGAAAAAAATACAGTAGCAAAAGGTAAATGATAATCAGGATAAAACAAAGGATACACCATGAAGGTCATAGCAAAGGATACACAACAATAAAAACAATAGCAAAGGACCCACAGTAGGAAAGATAATAGCAGAAGGGAAAGGGAATAAAATAAATAGGGAAGACAAGGGACCTTGTCCAGATCATTAATGATAATGAGCCACCAATGAATTCAACTTTCTCCCTCTTAGAATTGAGGTCTATCTTAAAACAGCACCTACTTCAGAGGGCTTTTAGGAGGATCAATTGTGTTAATATTTGAAAAGCCTTCAGAAGAATGCCTGGCCCTGAGCGCCTGCTCAGTGGTGCTGTCATTAGCGTCATTACTGTCCCTCTATTGATACAAGTGTTACGCGGTCTCCAAGGTCCAGCGAAAGACAAGCCGCCTGGGAAGGCAGCTGGGGGTTTGGGAGAATGGGAGGCAGCCGCCCAAATCCTTCCTGTGGAACGGGACATGATGACAGACCTGGCTGGAGCTCCTGACTTCATTCAGGAGGGCTGGCCAGGCGGCCAGCTGCTCAGCCATCGCCCCCCCCCTCCCTCTCCAAGGACCTCGCAGCCACACGCCCTCTTCTTCCTGTTTTTTGCCCAGGGGAATTTTATTAACAATGGGATCTTGTACAGACAGGCCTTTGGAAAGCTGCGGAGGGAGGGCGGGAAGGGTGTCCAAAGGGTAACAATCCTTGCTGGCACTGGTGGGGCATAAAACCCTTTCTTTTCATTCTCCCAAGGCCCTGTTTCGGGGAATGTCAGCCCCCTCCCCGCTAGACCCAGACTTAGAAGTCGCCACAGTTGAGCCCATCCAAGCTGATGGATACACATTCCCATACTCTCCACAATCATTCCCAGGGACTTCTCCCATCTAGTCTGGAGGGTCCGGGTCAAGCTCAGCCACTGCCCACTCTGTGAGGCCTCATAGGAGAGGGACTAAGAGGGACTTCCCAGGCTAATGGGGATAATTGGGTTCAGCACCCGATTCCAGTGTGTTTTGTTGGGTTAGGCATGAGGTGGTGGGGGCAGGACACCACCAGCAAATTCTCTGGCAGCAGCTGGGTGCCCTACGAGTCAACTCAGTTCTGCCCCTGTCCACCCAGAGGCAGCATCAGATCCCACGGAGGGCTCAGGCCTCCCCTGCCCCACCCCGCACACAGTGCAGGTTGTTCTCTGTGCTTCTGCCCATCGGGCTGTAGATGGAGGTTCCCACGACCCTGTCCTTGGGTTCAATTAGTTTGCTAGAGCGGCTTCCAGAACTCAAGAGGAATGTTTTACGTACAAGATCATCAGTTTATTATAAAAGGATATAACTAAGAAACAGCCAAACGGAAGAGGTGCAGAGGGCAAGTATGGGGAAGGTCACAGAGCATGCACGCCCTCTGCGTGGGCCACTTCCCATGAATCTCCATGTGCTCACCACCCTGGAAGTTCTCTACACCCTGTCCTTCTGGACTTTTATGAAGGCCCCAGTACATAGGCACGAATGATAGATCACTGGCCATTGGCCCCAGGTTCAACCTCCAGCCATGCTTCAAAGGTCAGAGAGGGGGGACTGGAAGTTCTGACCCTTTAATCAAACAGTGGGCTCCCCTTGCTGCCAGCCCCCATCCTTAGGTGGGTCCCAAAGTCACTTTGTTAACATAAAAAGACACCTGCTAACCTCTCCTCACTTAGGAAATCCCAAGGGTTTTAGGAGCTCCGCCGGGAGGGAGGATGAAGATCAAATACGCATTCTCCCGGCGTACCACAGTGCCATGGGGCAGTGGGAGCCTAAGCCCAAGCTCCCATTCTGACACTTTCCGTGGTAAGGTGAGAGAAGCTGATGGATTAACAGGGGTGCTGAGAAGGCAGGAGACCTGGGCCAGGCTTTCTGGGGGAGGGGAGAATGAAGGATAGCATGGCAGCCACCCCTCAGAAACAGGACGGACTGCCCCAACCACAAGCTGGTTCCGATGCTGAGACTGCCTGTGCCAACGCACGCACCGAAGGGTGCATCCCTCCCCGGCAGGTGACCTCAGCTGGCGGTGCAAGCAGGAGTCCAGGAGAGCGCCAGCAGCTCCAGGGTCCTGGTTCCGCTGCCCAGCTCATTGCCCTACCCCTGCCGGCAGGCATGCATTTTTGGTATGAGGTGCTTGATGCTGCCTGAAACACACAGACGGTCGGAGATCTAACTGATGGAGTCAGAAGTTTCCATAGTTGCCCTTCAGAACAGGGAGAGGGACCGCAGGCCTCCTTCTGGTGGCCCTGGGCTACGCGCCTCCACACCTGGACCTAACTGGGTGCCTCTCCCCTCCCTGGAGGTCAGGGGTGGGCCCCTCCAGTCACAGGTTGGTTCCCCTGCCAAATGGCCCCCCTTCCCCAGAAGCTTTGCCTCATTAGCATAAACTAACGTTGAAAGGGGCTTATTATGAATATCAGAATTTGCTCCTCACCCAGACCATTCAGGAAATTCTAAGGGTTTTAAAGCTCCTTGCCAGGAACCTGGGGAGAAAACCTAGGGAGGCCTGCGAGGGCTGTGAGCAGGAGGGTGGCCGGGGGGTGGGGTGGGGGTGGGGGCCTGGGTGCAAAGACCTCTCCGCGTCAGAGGGGCTGGAGATGGGCGGAGCCTGGAAGCTGCAATCCAGCAAGGAGGCTGTTGGGGGGCATCCAGAGGAAAGGAGGGAGGCCTGGAGGGAGGGAGCCGGGGACATGGCCACAGGAGGGACAGGGCTGAGGAAGGGACTGAGGAGGATGTGTTTGTGTCCAGGCTAGTGAATCAGCAGGTGGTGGGGTCCCCCTGGGGTGGAGAGCTGAGGAGGTGGGGGGAAATGCTGAACTCACAGTGAGATGGGTCAGAGGACATACAGGAGGCAGCTGGTGGACAAATTCCAGAGCCTAGGACTTGTTAGTGGTTGAGACAGTCTTGGTGGTGGGTGGGATGTCTCCAAAGAAAGAAAGGAAAGTGGGCCCGAGGACTGGGTGGATGGTGGGGTCAGCACCCAGGTGGAACATGTGTGGCCTGAGAACAGGTTGGTGGGGACAGGCAGTGGGCTGGGGTTTGGGTCATCGAGGAGTCTGTGTGCACAGGCAGGAAGCTGGGAAGTGACCTGAGATGACAGGGAAAACTCCCGTGTGGGCAGGCGGTGTGGGGGATGTGGCGGAGGACAGGGCCCTGGGAACACCTGTGTTTGTAAAGACGCAGGTGGAGGAAAAACAGGCCTATTCATGAAGGAGACACAGAAACGTGGGAGGGAAACCAGAAATGCGTGGCAACCTGGAAGCCGGCAGCGGAGTGAGTTTCAAGGAGGGCTGGGCGCATCGAAGGCTACCGGAAGGTCGACTAGGTGAGGAAGGAGGGGTGACCACTGGGTTGCTGGACATGGACATCTCTGCAGACCCGAAGAGACGATGGCTGTGAGCTGCAAGCAGTGAGTAGATCTCCACAGGTAGTAGAGGAGGAGGGCAGGGCTGAGGGCGTGTGGGGTGCTGGTTCCGAGGAATCTCTGGTCCCAGCATCCCCCTCACGTCCCCCGCAGAGGGTCAGGCACACAGGACCCCTCCAAGCGTTTGCTGAGTGAATGGGACGGGGGTATAAAGGCAGAGCAGAAGACACAGAACAGCACCAAGTCATAGTTGGTTTTTCTTCACATCTGAGAAAAGAAGGTTGTCGCCTAAGTCAGCTTTGAAAATTCCTTCTTTATAAGAAGTAAATCGATCAGGGCAACTTTGATAGTGCCTTAACATTGAGCATACCTGACAGTCCCGCCCGTCTTCTGTCGCCTGCTTGATGGTTCCACAAGGAAGTGGTGTTTAGACGTTTAGCTTCCGCCAGCCCCATTTCCAGAGGAGCAAAGGGAGGTCAGAACAGGAGGGTGGGCCCGTGGCCCCCAGGGAGTCGTGGGCTGCCATGAGGTTCCACCCAGTCTGTATCCTCTTTCTGGGAAATGCGGAGGATGCTCACGTGTGTGCAGCCGTTCCTTCATCCCTTCATCCCTTCATCTGTCCATTCATAGATTTAGGTAACTGACAATCAGGCTCTGCAGCCGGCCTTGGTTCAGCAGGGCCAGCACTCTGGTGCCCCCGTACTGTCACTCACCAGCCGTGTGGCCTTACACAGGTGACTTCATCTGGTCACACCTCGGTTTCCACCTCGATGCCGGTCTCATGCTCCACACTCTCACCCCAGAGGTCTGGAGGGCTGAGTTCTCTCTAGGGCACCGGCTTCACATTGAGCTTATGTTGACGCCCAAGTGTAAAGCTCGAGGCTCGGGGGCTGGAGAGGTCTGGAGGCTCCCTGGGGGAGGCGGCAAGCATGCCCAGCTTCTCCGAAAGCAAGTATGTGCCTCAAGGCAGTCCTTGTCCTCCTGGAGCCTCCAGCTACAAAACGAATGGGTTGGCTTTTTCCAGAAGCCACGAACCACAAGTCTGCATGGGAAGAGAACCACCCAGCAGTCACTCTGCCTTCCCCACCCCCTGCGGCCCCCCTGAAACCACTGGCCTGCTTTATAGCCCTCCAGATTTGCCCCTCTCCTGGGCATTTCATATAAATGGGATCCTACGCTACGTGACCAACTTCTTTCACTGACCGTGATATTTTTCGAAGTCCATTCACATTACAGCCTATGTTGGCACATTCTTTCTGTGGCTGAATAATACTCCATGGCATGGGTGAACCCCATTTTATGTATCCATTTGTCAGTTGACGGACATCAGCTTAGTGGGTATAACTTCGGGGGTGATGAAAACATTCTGGAATTAGATTGTGGTCATGGTTGCACATCCTTGCTTGCGGTGGAATTCACTGAATTGTAGACTTTAAAATGGTTCAAATGCTGAATTTGAAGTGATGTGATTTTTACTTTTGAAAAAGGCAGAGAAGGGACGGAAGAGGATGGAAAGAGAGAGAGAAAAGGCAAGAGAGAGATCTGTGCTGGGACCACAGGTGTTTTGTTTCTGTTTGGGGGCCAATATTTAAAAATTTGGGAAACATCCCAACATCAATCTGAATTTCCAGCTTCTCTTGAAGAGTCAGAAAAACTGGCAATCCTGGGCCCACGTTCCAGCATGACAGCTACCAGCTGAAGCTGGGTGGATTTTATTAAATATAAATTGCACCTTAGTACACTGAATCCCCCAAATCCACACAAAGGGAGGGCTTGCGTTAGGTGCTGCTATCTCAGAACACATCAAAAGTTGAGGTGTTGCAATTCCGAGTTCAGAGAGCGTAAGGGGCCCCAGACCCGAAGAGGCAGCAAAGGACCAAAAGACAGGAGTGGAGGGGGGGACCTGTCCTGCCCCTTTCTTTCCCCTCTTTGTCTCTCTCCCCACGCCTCTGCCTCCCTTCCTGCTCCACAGGTGAAACAAAAAATCGGGCACCAGCACAGACTTGTCTTGCCCCGAATCTCTCTCTGTCTCTGTCTCTGTCTCTCTTGGTGGAAACCCTTAAAGAAAACCTTTTGCGGAATTAGATAAACTGATGCATATAGATAAGAAGGCCTGTGCTTCTGGAAGCAGAGAACAGAGTTGATTCTGCATCTGAAATATTCCGTTAGAATCAGAGTCCTGCAGAACCCAGCTTGGAAACCCCCTTTTATCTCTCCTGACCCCCTCTTCGGAAATCTCTCCCTTCTCCTCTTGTTCCCTTTCTCGGCGCTCTCGGCCTCCCCGCCGGCCTGCCACCTCCCTGCTCGGCCTGGGCAGGGCCCCAGGTGTCCGTACGCCCCACCCTCGCAGGGCCTTCATCACTGGAGTGGGATTAGAACCCAGCTCCCCATGATCCTGAGTCACGCTCGGGCTGCTCGCCGGCTGGGGGAGCCGGCTGAAGGAGTGGGGCTGGGTCTCCCGCCCAGAGCTGGCACAGGCCCTTTCCCCTTGCCCCCTCCTTCAGCTCTAAAGCTCAATTAAGTGTCATTAGACAAGAAGTCTCTTCGGGATTAGAGGGTGCCCCACCCCATGTCTTCCCTGTCCCCTTCCCTCAACCCGGAAATTGCATGGGTCGGGAAAAGGTGTGCCAGCTGCCAGTCTGGGGCAGACGGACAGGAGGAGGGGGACCCGCAGGGCAGCATGACGGGTGGTTGAGAAGCCAGAGGGACAGCCGAAGAGTTGAGTGGCAGGGTGGCTGGCAGATTAAAGAATAGACGGGTAGGTGGACCGAGAGCAGGGAGACGGACAGGTTGAAACGTTGACAGCAAAGACACATGGAGGATCCAGAAGGCAGAGAGACAAGGTGAGAAGGGGGCAGGTGGTCACTGCCACCGGTGCCATTAGGGAGACAGGCAGAGAGGCAGGTGCAGCTGCTGGCAGGATGGGTGGGGACTAGCATGGGTGGGCTGCCAGGGAGAGGGGGCCTTCTCAGAGACGCCGAACATTTTCCCCCAGAACCTGGAGGTGGCCCACCACGGGCTCCAGCATCTTTTTGTTCCTGTGTGTTACTGGTGAGTTCCCCACGGAAGGGGGGTCCCTCGCTCCCCTCCCCTCCCCTCCCCCTCCCCAGGCCCCGTACCTGTCTCTGCATCCTTCGTTCTGTCCACCCCCGTCGCTGTGTCTGTCTTCTCCCTCTCTCTCATCTCTCTCTGTGTTGCCCTCTTTCTCCTCCTCCCTGTCTGTTTGGGGCTTTCACTGTGTCTTTTTCTGTATAGCACTGGGTCTGTCTCCCTGTCTCCTCCTCTCCCGCAGGGTCCGCCTCGGGTCTCTGTCTTTCTGCATTTCTCCATCTCTGCCCCTCTCTTCCTGTCTCTGACCCACAAGCTCGAGGCCCCTGACCCTGCCTCCCTGGCCCATACAAACCCCCGTTCTCAGGGCTCAGCCACGCAGACGCGCTGAAGATCTTTAATGGCACAGAGTGCGTCCCTCACTCGCAGCCGTGGCAGGTGGGGCTGTTCGAGGGCGGCAGTCTGCGCTGCGGGGGGGTCCTCCTTGATCGCAGGTGGGTCCTCACTGCTGCTCACTGCAGCGGCAGGTAAGCCCCCATCTGGGACCCTTCCTGGGGTGGGCGAAGGGGGGGGTGATGGGGACAGGAGTGCTGGGGGCAGGGGGCTCAGGGGAAGGGATGTGCCGCAGTGACACAGTCCTACAACAAGAGTGTCTGAGGTTAGACAAGGAGTAGGACCTCCAAACAACGGGCCTGGGTGGGGCTGGGTAGGGTGCAGCGGGCGGAGGGCTGTGAGGGTCCTGGAACCTGTCCACACCCACTCCCTCATGTCGCCTTCCTTCCCACATGGATCTGTTACTGCCGCGACCATTCCTCGTTCCCTGTCTGACCCACACTTTCTGTACAAGCTCAAAAGACTGTATCCAGCGCCTCTCTGGGCCTCAGCAGCCCCATCTGTACAGTGAGAGGACTGGGCTCTCTAGGGCTGAAGCTCTGGGCTTTTCTGTGGGAAGGAAGGTGGAGAGTTGAGAGATTCAGGACAGAGAGAGTGTGGTCATTTGGCCGGCAGAGCTGACAGCCCGGGCTCTCCCTTGGGTCGGGAACAGAACAGCAAACGAGGTGGATGATGTGCCTGCTCCCACCCCCCCCCTGGGGGGCCCCCCAGGCTAAGAGAATCAGACAGAATGAGAAGCAGTGCAAGTGAATGAGGGAGCACGGAACAGACACTGACACACAGAGCAGCAGAGAGAGCCGGGAGGGCCTGGGAGGCGGGACACAGCCCACCAGCCACACGCTGAGCCTCCATGACCCCCAGCAGGTACTGGGTGCGCCTGGGAGAACACAGCCTCAGCCAGCTGGACTGGACAGAACAGTTACGGCGCAGCGCCTTCTCCGTGACCCACCCCAGCTACCAGGGAAGCCTGCAGAGCTATGACCATGACCTCCGGCTTCTGCGACTGGGCACCCCTGTCCTCTTGACAGGCAGTGTCCAGCCCCTGCCCCTGGCCACTACCTGTGCAGCAGCTGGCACTGAGTGCCACATCTCAGGCTGGGGCATTACCAATAGACCATGGAGTAAGGGGGCCCTGGGGTCAGGACTCAGGATGGGCAGAAGTCTGGGGTTTAGGGTGAGAAGTCAAGGGTCATGGCATCTCAGGGGAAGAATGGTCAAAGGGTCAAACATCAGGATCATGGTTTGGGGGTCAGAGATCATGGTGAACCAGGGGCCTTGGGAGTCTTTAAAAGTCAAAGGTCAAGGATGTGAGTAGAGGTCAGAGTGATGTCAAGGGTCATCAGACTGGAGCAAAAGGCATATATAAATAAGATCTCCGAGTTACAGGTCACAGACTCTGGTGTTAGAAGTCATCGTAGAGTTGAGGTCATGGGATCCAGGAGTTGCACAAACTAGCCACAATGTGACAATGGAACCTGGGATTCAACTGGGGATCACGGGTCTGGGATTGGAAGCCTAGAGTTTGGGGTCATGGAGTCTGAAGTCAAATAAACTAGGATTAGAGGTCACTTTGGAGCTGGGTTCAGTGGTTTAGAGGGTGCAGAACTGAGGTTGGAGGTTAAGGTAAAGACAAGGAATAGGGGACCTAGAGATAGAAAAAAGACATGAAGTCAACTTGGGAGCAAAGGCTAATGAGATTGAAGGTTGAAGGTCACAGTAGCTAGGATCGGAGGAAGTCAGGTCTGGATTCACTGTATCTGAGGTTGGAAGGACAAGGAGAGTCTTGAGTCATGGTAATCAAAGTCATAGGCTAAAGGTCGGGGGACTAACCAATGAAATGGGGTCAAGGATCACTATGAAGTCAAGTCATAAATCTGAAATTTAGAGGTTTGAGGAGTGTAGTGGCGGTCCCAGGGAAGGGGCAGGGTGTAGACTTGGATGGGCTTCCTTCAGAGGAGAGCGGTGACACCAAGGTGGGGAGCTCTGAGGGACCCTGAAGCACCCATCTTCCACCCTCAGGCCCATTCCCAGACCGGCTCCAGTGCCTCAACCTCTCCATCGTCTCCAGTGCCACCTGCCAGGCAGCGTTCCCTGGGAGAATCACTGACAACATGGTGTGTGCCGGAGGCATCGCTGGGGAGGATGCCTGCCAGGTGTGTGAAGGCAGACAAGGCACGGTCACCCAGGCCAGGGCAGGAAGTGGGGGACAAGAAGGGAGTGGGGAATGGGGAAGGGTGAGTCAGGGAAAGGGGATGTGGGAGAGAGCTGGGGTCAGAAAGGAGGGAAGCACTGGGAATGGAGGACAGAGAGAACGGAGGGGTGGAGGGCACGGAGAAGGAAGGAAAAGAAGGGCACAAAGAGGAAGAGTTAGAGACACGGAGAGAAGAGCTAGCTGGGACATGGAACTCAGGCAGGTAGCCCGCCTCTCAGATTCTGTCTTCCCCATCCCACCCTTTGGCTGATGCTGGCCCAGGGTAGGGTGAGAGATTCCAGGTCGGAGGAAGAAAGAGGATTGGTGGACTCTCTCACCTTGTAACTCAGCTACTTGGCCCTGCCGGGTCTTCCAGAGAGGAGGCTGCCCCACCCTAGGGCCTCAGCCAGTGTCCTGGATGGAACTCTAACAAAGTCCCGCCCTCCTCCCCTGGGATTGGTCATTGGTGATGCTATTCTCATCCCTCATTGGTCAGGGCCCCAGCCATTGTCCTCGATAGAACGAATGGAGTCCCACCTCCTTTTCTAGGATTGGTCATTGGTGAATTGCTCACTTCACTCATTGGCCAGAGCTCTAACCATTGTCCTCTAGGGACACACTATGGAGTCCCGCCCTCCTTCCCTGGGATTGGTCCTAAGGATAGTGTGTTCTTCTCTATTGGTCAGTCGTTGCCATTGACTGGGAACGTGGCTGTCCTCCTTTCTCTGATGATCAGGTGTGGAGCCATTGTTTTCACAGCCTGGGAGTAGGCGAGGGAGTTGGGGAAAGGAAAATAGGAGCAGGATTTCTCCTTTATTAAGGCCGCCCTCGTTCTGCTTCTACCTTCCAGGGTGACTCTGGGGGTCCCCTGGTGTGCAGAGGAGTCCTTCAGGGTCTGGTGTCCTGGGGATCTGTGGACCCTTGCGGGCAGAAAGGAGTCCCTGGAGTCTACACCAATATTTGCAAATATGTGGACTGGATTCGGATGGTCATAAGGAACAACTGACATGCTCCCTCCACCGCTCAGCTTGGGGACCACTCTGACCCTCAGAGTACCAACACCTTCTCCATCATCATCCCCGCTCCCATTCTTGTTTGTCTAGGGATCTTCTTCCCCCAACTCTGACTCCAGCCATCTAGGACCATAGTTGGGCAAGGGGGGAGCATGTGGTTATCTGGAATAAATATAACTGAAGAAGGGGCTGTGTCTGTCTGTTTGATATCCTCATGCTGACTGAGACTGAAGGGAGGGCTCCTCAGTTCCCCTACCTAATGAATGGTGTAGGAATAGAGTTCAGGGTTTTCCCTTAGGGGTCACAAAGGAAGGGAGTAGAAAAAGCTACTTACAACAATAAAAATGAGGGCCATTGTTCTTCATCCTGCATGATAGGAACAGTGTCCACAAAGGATGTAAAAGGGTGTGGGAGGCGGAATTACTGGCTCCAAGACACCAAATGAAAATCGTGAAATCAGAATTCACGATTCAACTAAATGTCTATAAAACGTAACATTCCTCCACCTAGCCAACTGCAATTTGTTTTCGCTGTAGTTGAGCACACATTATATTTAATGTGGGATATGGGTTTGCTTTCATGTGTCTATGATGACTGAGGGTGGGGTGTAGCCTTGGAAAGCAAGAGGACCCAGCCTAGGTCTTAAAACAGTCCTGCCAGCCCCTTGGGTTCTGTCTTCCCTGCCTCTGTAGAAGGTGGAAAGGAACTTCCCTCCAACAAACGGAAGAGGAATCTGAGGTGGGAGTGAGAGGTGATCACGGGAGCCCAGGGAATGTTTTCAGAGCACCCACTGTGATGGGCTCTCCCGGAGTCCTCACCCCAACCCCCCAAGGCAGAGTTGTCCCCACGTCTGGCAGATGAAGAAACTGAGCCTCACCAGGGTGGAGTCCCTCATCCCACGTCACTGTGGTAGGAAGAGGCAGAGCCGGGCTTTGGGGCCAGGACTGGATGCTGTCAGAGCCCCGGCCTGCCCCATCATCTTGCTCCACATCTGGTTAGGGGAGAGAGGAAGGCACGGCCAAGAGAGGAGATCCAACTGATAAGAAGCAAGCTGGGAGAAGTAGGGATTGTCATTCAAGTTTGGCAGAGGAGGAAACTGAAGTGGTTCAGATTCAGGAAGTCATCGGACCTAGGTCACACAGCAAGTAAGTGCCATGGCTGGTTTGGGGGAGACCCCAGGGTTCCTGGAGGCCTGAGAGGCTGGGAGAGGGGAGCAGAGGGAAGGGTTGGCAGGGAAGTGAAGCCCCAGAGGAGCCCTGTGGGTTGGGGCACCTGCAGAGGACTGATTCCCTTTCCTGGGCCTTGATTCCACAGGCCCCGACCTGCCTCCCCCACCCTCCTGTCCTGCCCCTTCGCCTGGCAGCAGCCCCACCTCTGTGAGGCCCCAGTTTCCCCCATCCTTGGAATGAAGGGAAGGGCCTGGGGCGGTGCGGGGGCGGGGGGGGACCCTGAGCTAGGGCTGTGTGGAGGGAGCGCCAGGGACAGGAAGAGGGGCAGAGAGACTGGGAGATTAGGTGGAAGGAGAGGGATTTAGAGAAAGAGATAGAAGGAGGCAGAGACGAGCAGAAAGACGTAAAGAATTAAAGACCACGTGCAGAGAAAGGAGGGAGTGAGACAAAGACAGAAGGGCACAGAGACACAGAAAGAAAAAGGCGACACACAGAATTACAGAACGGCAGCAAATGACTGAGATAGAGAGACAGTTGGAGTTGCTGGGAAGGACGCAGACAGACAGACTGATGGATGGACACAGAAGAGTGGACAAACATAAAGGCAAAGAGGCTTGGACAGGTGACAGGCAGGTGGGTGGGCAGCACCTCGGAGCTGGTGCCTGGGGAGGGCCCGCACACACTCCGCCCCCAGGGCGATAAGGCAGGGCCAGGAGGCTCAGTCATCTTGGGCCCGCCCGGGGCCACCCCCCTGCCGCCTGCCTGGTGCCGTGTTCAACCCAGCCTGCCGCAGCTGCCCGCACCGCTGGGCCCCCAGAGCCTCAGCCCCCAGAGCCTGTGAGTCCGGGAGGGAAGGGAAGGCCCCCCCCAGGTGTCTGTGTGCCTGGTGTCCTCTGCCTCGGCGCCATTTCTCCCTCTGCTCTGCCCTTCTAGGCTTTTGGGGTGGGGGGGCTTTCTGCCTCTCTGCATCTCCAACCAGCTACTCCCAAGCTCAGTGACCTCTGACCGTAGCTTTGGTCGCTGAATCCAGCCCTCCACCCCATCCCTGCTGGCCAGTGCATATGAGGACTGGTCCTCTCCCATCCCCCCATCAGCTCCGCCTAGCTCTGTCTGTCTGTCCTTTAAAGGGGCAGCAGTTCTGCAGGATCAAAGCCAGAACACTGTCCCACGCTGAGCCCCCCACTGCACCCCAGGCCCTCTCAAAGGGAGCATATCACCCTGGGGCGGTGGCTGAATGGCCACCCTGCGCCTCTGGGGCCTGACCAGGTCTCCAGTGGGCAAGAAGGAAAACATTCTTCTAGAGGCACCTCTGAGGTCCTGGGGCTGACTTCGTGCAGGGCCAGCCCATCACCTACCTCAGGCAGATGCCCTCCCAGCAGCAGCCACAGCCTCCTAGGCCGTCGGAAACTTCTAGCTGAGATCCGGCCCCTCCTAAGCCACCCTCATACCAAAGATTTATTATTTTAAACATTTGGAGCTTGAGATGCTGTGCGATCCTCCAACCTTGTTGTTTCTCCCTGGGAGAGCAGGTGTGGGAGAGAGGGGAGGGCATGAACCAGCCCTCAGTCTCCCCGTAAAGTGATTTGGTCCTTTGTCCCTCCTTGTTCCCAGAAGAACCTGGGGCCTGCCCTTCCCCACTCCAGGCCATGATGATTCTGCCATTAATCATGCTTGCTCTGATGACAGGTACGGTGGGGGATGAGGAACGGCAGGGGCCACCCTTTTGAGTCCCTAGGATCCCCCCAGCCCTTTATGTCTGGACCTTGACTGGGCTGATCCTCAAAATACAGAATAACGTAGGGCATCTGAATGGATACATGAGGCATAAGGAGGTCCTGGACGCCTCCTGCTGGATGGGGCAGAATGAGGGCAGGTCAAGGACGGTCGCAGGGAAGGGGCCAGAGCAGCTGCGGTGGTATGGGGGACGCTTAAGGAACTCAGGACAGCGGCTATTGACCCACCAGTGTGGAAGGATTTCAGTCATTTAACACCTGGCCCACCCAAACAGGGCATCCTAGCAGGACCCCCGGCTGGGATCCAGAGCACCCACCTTTCGCCCCCACCCCCACTTCTGGGAGGCCTGTCATGCCTGAGCCCCCTCTTCTGCCCTCACCCCCTCCAGGGCATGTAGCGGGAGAGACCAGGATCATCAAGGGTTATGAGTGCCCTCCTCATTCCCAGCCCTGGCAGGCGGCTCTCTTCCAGAAGACCCGGCTGTTCTGTGGGGCAACGCTCATCGCTCCCAAATGGCTCCTGACAGCAGCGCACTGTCAGAAGCCGTGGGTGCGGGGGCCGGGGCGGGGTCGGGAGGGGGCTGGGGATGGAGAGATGGATGGAGAGGGGCTCGGGGGTGGGGGGAATGTCTATGGAGTTGGGGATCGGCATAGGGTAGGGTGGCATTAGTACTGATGGTGAAGATTGGGCTGAGATACAAGACAGAAGACGGTAGAAGGAGGAAGATGTTGGGGACGGGGTTGGGATGTGGCTGGGGAGGGGGTTTTGGAGGGAGACGGGGGTGAGGTTAGAAGCAGAGCATTTCACATGTTCCTGCATCTCAGGGGCACTCATCTCTCCTCCTCCCCCATGTCTCTCCCCCCTTTCTGTCCCCCGTCTCTCTACCCTCATCTCTGATTACCACGTCTCCCACCTCAGCCGATACATAGTTCATCTAGGCGAGCACAACCTCCAGAGGCCAGATGGCTGCGAGCAGACCCGGGTGGCTACTGAGTCCTTCCCCCACCCAGGCTTCAACAACAGCCTCCCCAACAAAGACCACCGCAACGACATCATGCTGGTGAAGATGTCGGTGTCAGCTGTCGTCACCCGGGCTGTGCGACCCCTCGCCCTGTCATCACGCTGCGTCACTCCTGGCACCCGCTGCCTCATTTCCGGCTGGGGCACCACATCCAGCCCCCAGTGTAGGGGCCCCAGAAGGGAAATGGTGGGGGGAGGGTGGTTATGACTGTGGAAGGACATGCGGAATCAGAGGAACCTTCAAAGATGCGAGTTATGGTGATACAAGGAGGAGCTGCCTGGGAGTGTCAGTGGTGGGATAAGTGGAAAGGAAGAGTGTGGAAGGGCTGGGGAGGGCGGAGAAGAAAGTTTGGGCCTTGGAGTCAGACGTGATGTGCAATCCCAGATCCACAACCTGCTAGTTTTAGGACCTTAGGCAAGTGGCTTCACCTCTCTGAACCTTGGTTTTCTTCTCTATAGAATGAGAATAATCACACCTGCCTACCAGGGCTGCATCAGAGATAACATGTATAGAGCAACTGGCATAAAATAATTTACTCGAAAGCATGACTGTTGCTATTACTATAAGCAGAGAGATGAGTTGGCTGCAAGCAAGGACGGGGACTGGGTTCAGAGCAAGCACTGCAGTATAGGGATGGGAAATGGTGGGGGGGGCTCTCATTTTCCAAACCCCTTCATGCCGTTTCTACAGTGAACCTGCCCCATACTTTGCGATGCGCCAACATATCCATCATTGGTCAAAAAGAATGTGAAAATGCCTACCCCGGCAACATCACAGACACCATGGTGTGTGCCAGTGTTAAGGAAGAGGGCAAGGACTCCTGCCAGGTCAGAGGGCAGGGCCTGGGTCTGCAACTACATCCCCATCCCCATCTCCCACCTCAAGTACATCTTCGTTTACAACCTCAATCTCATCCCCAACCCTAACCCTACCTCCCCCTGAAATACCAAAACCATCTCCTCCCGACTTCCCATTTCTAACCTCCACATGCTGCCCAGCTCCGTCCCCATTACCACCTCTATTTTTAACCCCAACCCCATCTATATTCCCACCAATAACTCCAACTTCATCCCCAGAACCATTGCCAACCTCGGTCTCCTGCCCACCCCTTCCCTCTCCCGGGAGCCCCCCTCTTCTGACTGGTTTTCTCTCTCTCCCCATCCCCAGGGCGACTCTGGGGGCCCTCTGGTCTGTAATGGGTCTCTTCAAGGCATTATCTCCTGGGGCCAGGATCCATGTGCTGTCACCAAAAAGCCTGGTGTCTACACAAAGGTCTGCAAATACGTGGGCTGGATCCGGAAGACCATGGAGAACAATTAGCCAGGACCAGCTCCCCACTGCCCGACACCCCTGATCCCTACTTGGTGATGTGGGTCCTGTTCATTCCGTTAATAATCAAGCCTGAGCCAGGACCCCTTTATGTACTCTTTCTTTGTACCTCCTTGACTAGGAGAGAGGCTGTAGCTTAGTAATCAACTTGGGGTTTGGAATTCCTGCCACCTGGATTCACATATGGCCTCATACTAACTTGTGACTCTGGGAATGACGATAGCTATTCGATTCGCTGCTGCAACCCCAGCCCCCTATCGTTCCGAGGACTCACCACGGCTTTAATAAATAATGAATGAATGAATCTTTTGAGTGCTTACTCATGCCAGGCAATGGTCCAAGGGCTTTTAAACGTATCAGCTAACTTAATCTTCACAAGTCTTTGAGATCAGTGCTGTGGTTAAATCCGTTTTGCAGAAGAGGTACAGAGAAACGAAGGCACTTGCTCACAGTCACCAGCCAGTACACAGAAGAGTGATTAACTACCAAGCAAAGTGATTAACTACCAAGCAGTGGTGTCTGATTAAGGCTGTTAGTTTCCTCACCTGTTAAGTCATTCATGTGAAAGTATGATAGCACACTAACTCAGCCTGCACATGGTTAAGACCTGTCAGAAGGGAGCTATCCTGGTTTTTTTTTCCAATCTCCATATGTAACTCAGAGATCTGTGCTAGCCAGTAGAGTAGTCACTAACCACATGTGGCTATTTACATTTAAACGACCTAAAATCAGAAATGTCATTCTGCAGTCGCACTGGCCATGTGTCAAATGTTCTGTAGCTACATGAGGCTGGTGGAGGCTGAACTGGACAGCACATACAGAGTATTTCCATCACTGTAGAAAGTTTGATTGGACAGCACCAAGCTGGACAACCTCCACAGTTAACTCACTTCTCACTGGAGAAGATGCCCCACAGTCAGTCAAGAACTCAGGATCTTTCCTGGTGTTCCATGCCCCTTGCAGGGGAAGTAGCTGGCATGGGAGGAAGAGCCCAGAGCTGGAACTGGGGCCTCCCAGTTGTTAGACAGACTTGCTGTGTGACTTTCTGTGAGTCACCGCCCTCTCTGAGCCTCCCTTTCCTCGCCTGAAATGAGGCAGCTGGCTGAGGTGATACTGATGCCCCTTGCAGCCTGGGCGTCCTGTGATTCATGGTCCTGCTTATCACCTGGAGACCCACAGACGGCAGGAAGGATGTGAAATGACCCCACTGAGGCACGACCCAGAGCGTCCCAACTCCTAGGGTGGGGGCTAGTCACTGGGCATCCCTCTGGGTCTCTCTACTTTCCTCCCCGTGTCTTCCCCTTTTCCTCGTCTCTGCGTCTCAGTGTCCGTAGCTCCTACTCTTGCCTCCCATCCGTCTTATCTCTGGGCCTCTCTCTCCCCCTGCCAGGGCTCTGCCTTTTCTCACTGAGTCATTCACCCTATGTACTTCCGTGTATTTATTTTCCTCTCGGTAATGGTCCCGTATCTCCAACACAGTCCCCAACACCGTCAGGATCCTTGGAGATGGGGCACCTTTTCTTCACATCTGGGAACAGGGAGCCTGGGGACTCTTCATGGACTCCAACCCCAAAAAGGTTGTTCCGGGCCCTGGAAGAAGCCTGTATTCCCGGGCACCTCCCAGAGTAGGAATCTGGTGCCCAGGTTGGGTGCCAGCTCCACCCACGATATAATTAGGGAGAGGGACAGGGAGGGGTGCGTCCCTAGGGGAAGGGCGGGGAAGTTTCCGGGCTCTTGGGGTTAAAAGGGAAGGAGTGGCCAGGGGTCCCTGGGCAGAGGATTCCAGCGGCCCACACGGCAGGGCAGAGGCGCTTGTCTCCCCCCTCCTTCCCTCCGGCGACTCCCAGGTGAGGCGGGGTGCACCTCACCCCGGATGGGGCGGGTCGCGGAGCATGGGTGGGAACCTTCGGGTCCCCGGCGGGCACCCTGTTTGAGGCTCTATTTCCCTATCTGTGGGATACGCCTCTGAGCCTCGGACCCCCACCCAGCCTGTGAACGAGGGCGCAACCGCAAGCGCTGCGTGGCTGGCAGCTGGGGAGAGCCCCGTCCTCCTCCCCTCGGGCGCAGGGAGAGCGAGAGGACGCCACGAGGGGCGTCATTAGGGTAATTGCGCCTATTAAGGCTGTTCCGGCCCAAATCCCTCGTCCGCGCCCGCCCCTGCGGCCGTCGGCCGAAAATTAAACCGGTCGCTGCGGACTGAGGTGGCCCCGGCTGGACTAGTGAGCGCGTCAGGGCGGAGGGGTTCTGCCAGGGCATCTGTTTTAACCCGCCCCCGGCGCCACACCCAGGTCCTGACCATGAGACCCCCGCACCTCCGCCTCCCCGCTGTCTGTGGCGCCCGGGCGCCGGCGAAGCTGCTTCTGCCCCTGCTGATCGCGCAACTCTGGGGTGAGGGGGACATGGCTTGGCGGGAGGGGCCAGGGACGGGAGAGACGGGAGGCTGCGCTTCTACCACCAACCCCGCGGCCCCTCTTCTCTCCTCGGGGTCCCGAGCACCCACCCACCATCCGGAGCAGGCCCCGCCCACTCCCGCTCTCCTCAGGGGGCCGGGGGGGGCCACTCCCGCTCTCCGCAGGGGGCCAGGGGGCCCGCCCCCACCCGGGCCCCGCCCCTTCACTCTGCAGGATTTAAACCTCCCCGCTCCGCGCATCCTGTCCCCGCCCCTCGTACCCCACTTTTCTAACCCCGTCCCCTCTCTGTCCCCTCTCCTTGCCCCGCCTATTTTGGCCAGTCTTGTCTTAGCATTTTCTGCCATGGCCCTTTTTCCCAGCCCGCAGCATCGGGCTACCCGGCGCCGCTTTCCGTCCCCGCCCCCTGGCTGCCAGGCCGCACGCCGTTCCCGGCCTCTGTCCGCGCCCCTCCGCGCCCGCCCTGCGCCGTCTCCGGCCTTTCCGCCCCGGCCCCACCCCTTTTCCCTTTCACGCCGTTGTTCTCCGCCCACCTCCTGCAGGACCTCTGCGTTCCTTTCCCCCATCGCGCTGCGCGGCCAATCCCCGTAGCCTCGCTCCGACCCTAAACGCAGCCCCAGCCCTGCCCTGCCCGCTCTGATCTCCACCGTTTTTCCTCCTCCAGCCGCGGAGGCGGCCTTGCTCCCCAGAAACGACACGGACACGGAGCACGTGCCGTCCGGCGCCCCGTGCGCGCGCGGCTCACAGCCCTGGCAGGTCTCCCTCTTCAATGGCCTCGCGTTCCACTGCGCGGGCGTCCTGGTGGACGAGAGTTGGGTGCTCACGGCCGCGCACTGCGGGAACGACAAGTAGGGGGAGCTCCTCGGGACGCCGCCGGAGGGGGTGGGGGGGTGGAGGCAGGTCCCGGGAAGTGGGTGGGGTATGGACCTCTCCCGGCTTGATGGGGTCAGTCCTGGAGGGCTTCCTGTAGGAGCGGTGAATTGTGCTGTGGCCGCCAGGGGGCGGTGTGGTCCTCAGCTTTTCTGGACCCGTCCGTCACTCCTGTCCAGCTGATTCTCCTTGGGTTCCATTAAGGTGTCCATTGTTGTACGCAGCAGACGGAAGTCAGTCTGATGTGGTTAAGAATTTAGATGAAAAAAAATTGCTCGTCACGAATCTCCACTGAGGAAGAAAGGAAGGGGGCCTGATCACGCCTCCCCGTGTGCCAAGAATTCGGGGCCCCTGCTCCCTTCTCCCCAGGCCGTCCCCCCTCAGACCCAGGGGGCCCAGTCCCTCTGAAGGTTTTGCCTCCTTCCCTCCCCAGGCCGCTGTGGGCACGCGTCGGGGATGACCACCTGCTGCTGCTCCAGGGCGAGCAGCTCCGCCGGACCACTCTCTCTATTACCCACCCGAACTACATCCCGGGCTCAGGCCCTATTCTGCCGAGGCGGACCGACGAGCACGACCTCATGCTGCTGAAGCTGGCCAGGCCCGCCGTGCTGGGGCCTCGCCTCCAGACCCTGCGCCTGCCCTACCGCTGTGCCCAGCCTGGGGACCAGTGCCAGGTTGCTGGCTGGGGCACCACAGTCGCCCGAAGAGGTAAGAACTAGGGGCTGAGGCCTGTATCTCAGGGAAGAAGGCCTGGGGGCCAGGACTCCTGGATCTGAGGGAGGAGGGGGCTGGAGGCCTGGGGCCCAGGATGGCAACAGTCTGGGTATTGGGACTCCTGGGTCCTGGACCACAGGATTACCTGGTGTTTTCTCCCCTCAGTGAAGTACAACAGGGGCCTGGGCTGCTCCACGGTCACTGTCTTGAGTCCTCAGGAGTGTGAGGTCTTCTATCCTGGCGTGCTCACCAGCAACATGATGTGTGCGGGCCTGGACCAGGGGCGGGACCCCTGCCAGGTAGGAACTGGCCAGGGATGGCCATTGACCGGTGGAAGCAAAGACAGGGAGGTTCTGGGGAAGCAGAAGACCCCACCTCTGTCCCCACCCACATAGCCACCCCACTCAGTGTCATCCCCATGTCCCCCACTACCTCCTTGGGTCCATCTGCTGTGACCAGCCTTGCCCTCCTCCCCATCCCTTCCCATCCTCAACCATCTTCCCTTTCTCCAGCCCTTCCTCAACTCCCACCCCAGCCCCATCTCTAGGTCCATCTCCATCCTCCGACCTGCCAGGATCTTCAACTCCCTGCTTCACTGCACCCCCATTCCCACCCCCCACCCAATGCCCACAGGCATCACCCTCCGACCTCATGCCTAATCCCAGGCCCACCCAACCTCACCTTTTTCCCAGCCTAGCTTCAAACGTGCCCAGCCCTTTCCTTCTCCATTGCTACTGCAGGCCCCCAAGTGGCAGCCCCCAGACTGGTGTGTTTATTTGATCTCTCCTTCCTCCCACCCCCAGAGTGACTCCGGTGGCCCTCTTGTCTGTGACAAGACCCTGCAGGGCATCCTTTCTTGGAGTGTTTACCCCTGTGGCTCTGCTCCGCGCCCAGCTGTCTACACACACCTCTGCAAGTACGTCCCCTGGATAGAGAGAACCATACGCTCCAACTGACCCCATGCCCTGCCAGTCCTCCAGCATCGGCCCTCTTCTCCTTCATCCATAGTCCCCGCCCCATTCAAACTGCAGCTGCCCTCCACGCCTGCTGGTGTGTTCAAGAGAAGGGAGGACGCTGGTGGTCACCTAGGCTCTGAGAGAAGTTGTCAGTCCCCCAGTCTAACTATCTCTGCCACTCCCTGCTGTGTGACCTTGAGCAAGACAAATGCCTTCTCTGGGCCTCAGTTTCTCACCTGGAAAATGGGGATAATGAAGTGCCTACCTCATAGATGCATTGTGAGAGGACTAGGATATAATGTGTGTGGTAGATTGTTATGGTAATTACCAATAAAACATTCATACAGTGGGTGGTGAGCTCTGACTAAATGCTACCTGTTGTCATGATCTGTGAACAGGTCCTGGTGAGAACATGTGTGTCACTGTGTCCTGGGAAGGAAAGCACAGGGGCAGCCCCTGGTCCAAACCCCCTGCCACACCATCGCCATCCCCATCCCCATCACTCAGGGCCGATGGGAGAATCACGTTTCCCACCCTCCTCTCCAGTTCTAGGCAGCACCTCTTAACCACTTCCTCCCCCCTCCTACTGTTTCCAGTGTCCAGGTCCACCCAACACCAGTTCCTCCTGTCTCTGCAGGAACTAGGCCAGCTCTGAGTCATCTGGTACCTTCTCTGCTTTCCTGGGGCCACTAGAACCCAAGGGACTTCCCCCTTGCCACTATCCCAGTCTCTAAGACAAGAGCAAGTCTCCCACCACAGTTGCTAAGTTCAGGCAAAGCAGCCCTCTGAAATTGAGGGGAAACTTTGTTGTTAGATTCATCTCCATCCCCTTATGTGCCGGCAGCTGCAAGGCCAGCTTCACTGAACCTCCGTTCCCATCCCCCATCCAGGAACCACCCCATCCAGGGCCCACCCCCACCGCCCCCCCATCCTCAACTGGCTTTGAGATTTTGCCCTGAAAATTTGGAAGACGGTGTTCTTTTCCTCTTGCTGAAAGTCTCCATGTAAATATTCCTGTGCTGGAGGGCATTATACACAGAATCCAGGCAAAGCTAACATGTGCATGGCCCCACTTAGCCTGGACTTTGGAGGGTAACATAAGCTGAACATATGCACAACAGAAAATTTCCAGCCAGTACTGGTTGCTTTTGTTCCCCGTTCCCACACCAATTCGTGGAGCACCTTTTACATGGGAGGCTTGGTGCTGGGTACTGGGAACAGAGTGCTGACTGCAAGCACTAGGTCCCTGCCCTCAGAGCCCACAGAAGGCTGGCACATGCGTCTGAGCACAGAGTGTAGGAAGCTCTCTTCCACTGGCTCCTCCCCTGCCCCATGAGCACACCCAGGAAGTGTCAGTCAGGCATATCAGCTGAGTTTGTCATAGGAGGATCAGAAGCAAAGTAGGTGGGAACTTGAAAACCCGATCCATTTTTAAAGGCAATTCACCCATTCCTTTAGTCATGCCACAAGTGTTTATTAAGTCATGTCCTGTGCCAGGTACTGGAGATGAATCAGCTAGGGCCCTACCCTCAAGGAGTTGCTAGTCAGGTCAGGGAGAAGGCAAGCCTTACATTCTTGTCATTCAGGCCTCTGGTCTAAGGTTACCTCCTTAAGGAGGCCTTCCAGGATTACCTTGGCTAAAGGGGACCCCACTGGGCCACAGTTCATCACCCTGTTTATTTCTCTTGCACCATTTATTAGAGCTGAAATGACCTTATTTGTTTACCCCATAATGGTCTGTCCCCTCTCTCCCTCTATCCAGTCCGTGAGGGCAGGGACTCTGACTTATTCACTGTGATTTTCTAAGCCTAGTGCTTGGTGCACAGAAGTCAGTCAACACATTGTTGAATTAATGAATGACACAAATTGATCAGTGCTGTAACAGAAAGAGGCACAGGGTGCCCTAAGGAGGGGCCAAGGACTCTTCCTGAAATAGTCAGGGAAAGCTTCTCAGACAAGGGGACATGTGTATAAGGTTTTAAAGATAAGTAGGAGTTCACCAGGTAGAGAAGGAAATGTATTTTTGTCACCGTGTGACCTTGAGCATAGTACTTGAATGTTCTCTCTACCTCAATCTTCTCCCATGTGAAATTGAGATTGAATAGACTCTTGTGAGAATTAAAGGAGGTAATAGGCATGAAACACCTACCTAACTGCTAGGAACAGAGTAAACAGTCAATAAAGGTAGTATCAAGGTGTTCTTAAAAGCAGTTGGTTTGGCACATAGTGGACATTCAGTTCCTAGTCTCAAGGACATCCTGGTCTGGAAAGAGAGGAAAACATCCTCCAGCTGCATAATACAAGGTGATGTGTGTTGGGATGGAGCACTGCAAGGCTCCACAGGAGATGGACGGGGATATTTATTGAATGCTTACCACGTGTCGGGCACTCTTCAAAGTTCTTCACAGATGTTAATTCATTCAATCCCAATGTGAGCCTGGTTATCATTGCTACTTAATAGATGGAGCAACTGAGAGAGGTCCAGAGACATGCCCAAGGTCACACACATAATAACTGTCAGCATTAGGATTTGGACCCAGGTGGTCCAGTTGCAGAGTGCGTGCTCCAAAGCTCAACACCATAGTGAGGACACATTCAAGGGGAGCCCGGACCCAGCTTGATAATCAGGCTTACAGCAACAGAAAGTGGAAGAGGCTGTGGTTGCCCAGGGGATGAAAAGATATGCTCTGCCTGGGGAAGTCAAGAAGGCTTCCTGGAGGAGGGGGCATTAGGTTGAGTCTTGAAAGATGAGTAGTTCACCAGGAAAAGAAGGATATGGAGAAAGCCATTCACTCATTCAAATAACATCTCCTGAGGCTTCCCATGAGCCCAGCCCTGAAAGGGTGATGCTGGGGACACAGAGATGAGTCATATTGGTGCCTGGCCCTCCAGGGCCTGCCCACCTCATGAGAAGGAGGGATGGCAAGAGAGGCAGGGAGGAGGGGGTGATGGGACTGTGGAAGGGAAGAGACGGGTGAGGAGAAACAGGACAATGTTCTCAATCCCCTGGCCAGGATCTGGTGGTATAACAGAAAAGAAAGCATGCTTGGTCCCAGGCAGGGCGGGCATGTGGGCTCCATGGGTCGTAGGGGTGTGAGGAAGGGGGCAGTTCCTGGCAAGAGGGGCAGTCCGGTTGGGACTATATTCTCAGCCTTCTGGGAGAGGCCTTTGTCCTTATGGGAAGGGGCCCAAGTCCCCAGGGAGGGAGGGCTCTGCTGGGTGTGTGCTCGCCCTGCGGCCTCTGCGGGGCTCAGTCTGTGCTTCTGTCCCTCCCGCCTCTTCCTCACACTGGATCCTTCCATGCATATGTGTCTGTCTCTTTTTTTTCTTTCTTTCTTTCTCTTTTCCTGCCTCAGCCCCATCCTGCCAGCCTTCTTCTTCCCTCTGATGCCTGCTTCTTCCTCCAGCCTGCTTTCTGGACGGCCCTGGGCATCCCTCCAGCCCGCCCAGTGCGCTGGTCCCAGCTCAGCACAGGGTCATTCCGGATGAACTTGCTTCCCCCAGGACCCCGCCTGCCTTCCGGAACCTTTCTCTCCTTCCTCTTCCTCCTCCAGGCCAGAATATCCTGTATCCAGATCCTGCATCCTGAGGTCACAGGGAACACGGGCTCGCCTCTCTGGATTCCCCTAGGAGGACTCCACCTCCCAGGGACCCTCCCCTATATGGGCCAGACCCCAGGAGGCCACCAGCTTATCCCAACAGGGGTCCCCTGCACCACCTCACTTCTCTGGGCCCCCAGTCGAGGCCCCAGGGCTTCCCCCTCCCTCTGGGACATTTCCCAACCCTGATTAATCATGGGGCGGCCCCAGGGAGGAGGAAGGAGATGGCATGGCTTACCATAAAGCAGCACTGGACGCCCAAGCCAGGCTCGAGGACCCAGGCACCCCAAGGTCATGAGGCTGAGATTCATCTGTGCTCTGCTCTCTCTCCTGGCAGGTGAGGCACCTGCCCTCTACCCTGCTGTTCCACAGCTCCAGGAGCCCCTCCTTCTTGCCCTTCAGCCCCTAGCCTTCTGCTCCTGCCCTCTAGGCACCCCCAAGCCTTTCCACATTGCTCTTCGTTAACCTCTCTGCCCCCAACCCCACCCCAGGGCACAGCAGGGCAGACACTCGAGCCATTGGGGCTCAGGAATGCCGCCCCAACTCACAGCCCTGGCAGGCTGGCCTCTTTTTCCTCACCCACCTCTTCTGTGGGGCATCCCTCATCAGTGACCGCTGGCTGCTCACAGCTGCCCACTGCCACAAGCCGTAAGTGACCCACGGGCAGGCCACTCTGGGGAGGGGGCTGGGGATAAGGACATAATGAGGGGGGCAAGGGGCCCCTGGTGGAGGAGGGAGGGAGCTGAGGGCAGAAACATTCCCAAAAGCTCAACTCATAGAATTACAGAGTTGACCCTCCAAATTCTTGAGTCCTAAATAATAATCGCTCTGAGGGTCTAAAATTTTAAACTTAGATTCTTAGAAGCCTAGGCTCTGACCCAGAAAGATCCAGAGCCACAAACTCCTAAAATCTTGGATCCATGAGGTTCTACATTAGCTTCAGGGAATACTAGAATTGCAGATTCAGAGACTGGTAGGATCTTAGAAGGAGCAGCCCAGTGGAATGGAACATATGCCCTGCGGAAATATAACCTCAGCCCACATAGGTAAGTATATGCGTAAGTGGAAATGTAAATGTAGGTAAGTTTTCTAGTAGACACATTTAAAAAGTAAAAAAGAAGTAATTAAAATTAATTTTAATAATAGATTTAACTTGACATACTCAGGACATTATTTCAACATGTAATCAATTTTTAAACTTAGGAATGCCATAGTTTAGTCTTTCTGCTAAGCTTCCAAAATTGGATGTGTATTTTACACACATGGTACATCTCAATTGGGCAAGCTTTGGCACATTTCAAGCGCTTATCAGTTTTTAGGGATAGCGTGACCCCAGAATCTGAGATTTGGTCTTCTGGTGAGGTTCATAGTGTACAAAAGCTCGTAAGTCCTGGAAGCTTCAATTCACAGTCTCCTAGATCACTGTGATTTGTAGAATTCTAGAATCTTGAACCAAGAGAATTCTAGAGGCTTATATTCATGAGTGTCTAGAATCTGGTAAATTTAATTACCCAGAATGCTCTCATTCCTGGCTTTTTAAAACCCCCAATGTTTTAATTCAGAGAATTTTAGAGTCTCAAAGGATTTGAATCTTAGATCCTTAAATTTCTAAAATCGTAGATTTGTAGAATTCTAAAATGATGAAATTCTACTCTTACTGGCCCAGTATGTTAGAATTCTAGGGTCTTTAAATCCCTGATTTAATTCAGCTAATTTAAATATCCTAGACTTCTCAGTTCAGAGAAATCTAGATTATTAGAGTCTTGGGTTCATAACATTCTAGAATCCGAGTGTCAGAGAATTCTAGAATCATGCATTCCTAGGATGTTAGAGACTTAGGATTCTAGAATCTTGGGTTCTAGGCATTCTAACAGGATCCTACAATCTGCCTGATGCAGAAATCCTTTCTCTCATATCTCCGGAAAGGGGCCGTCCATCCTGTTCTGATATTCTCCCCTCCAGGAATGAAGCACAGGTGCTGGGACAGAATGCTGTGTGGGAGTTTCCCATCATGCACTGCTCCATGACGCAGGGTTGGGGGGCCTTTAGGTCTGTACATCAGGCTAGAAGGACGCCGCTCAGAGTTCAGCCCCAAAGACAAGGGAGTAAAGCAGAGACGTGGAGGTAGAAGTGATTCACAGGCAGGGACAAGGTGGGGTAGGGGGGCTGGTTTCCCAGACACAGAGCCAAGGGAACAAGGTGACAGAGAGGGACGAAGGCAGAGAGAGCACCTCGCACCCCTCAAACCCTGAATTCCCAGCCATTAGCCTGGCTCCTAATGCCAGTGGTCAGAGGTTGAGGGATGGACATGTCGACCCCCAGAGGGTCCCCAGCTGTCCAGGTGGGGACCCAGAGCAGACCACGTGGACTGGGATTTCAGGGAGAGGGCTTGAGCTTAGACCTCAGGAAGACATGCAGTTGAGGGTGAGGCACCACAGATGACCCCCAACTTGGGGACTTCTCATCCCCTATCCCCCTCCACACATACACACACATAAACACACACACAGTCACTCCCCACAGAGGCCACCAGACGTGTGGGGGTAAGGGGTGGGGCTGTTGTTGTGTGGTAGGTGGATCCCCCATATGCCTAGGTTCCAAGGGACCCGGGTCACCAAGGATCCAGGTGGGGCAGGAAGGAAGGTGGCTCACTTGGTACAGGACTAGAAAGGGTGGGAACTTTTGGGGGAGGGCCACAAAGGTGGAGACAAAGGGATGGAGTGTGGAGCAGAGGCCCAGAGACAGTGTGTGCCTTACTTAAAATCACACAGCATTCTGGATCATACACAGATGATGGGGGTCCATAGAGGGTGTTTTGCTTGTGGAGGGTCACACAGCACCCTGATGGACACCCAGCTTGACCTCTCAGACCTGTGCCGGCAGGTATCTATGGGTCCGCCTCGGGGAGCACCACCTCTGGCAATGGGAGGGTCCAGAGCAGCTGTTCCGGGTCACGGACTTCTTCCCCCACCCTGGGTTCAACAAGGACCTCAGTGCCCATGACCACAAGGATGACATCATGCTGATCCGTCTGCCCAGAGAGGCACACCTGGGGTCTGCTGTGCAGCCTCTCAACCTCAGCCAGACCTGTGCCTCCCCAGGCACCCAGTGCCTCATCTCGGGCTGGGGTGCTGTGTCCAGCCCCAAGGGTACAGCCTTGTGCACAACACACTCCCTTATGTCTCATCTGAGGATCTGAAGCCCCTCTCTTTCTCTGTCTCTGCCTTTTCATCTCTGTTCCCTCCCTTCCCTTCCTTCTTCCTTCCTTCCTTCCTTCTTTCCATCATCTACTATTTATTGTCTATGTACTATCATCTATCTATCTATCTATCTATCTATCTATCTATCTATCTATCTATCTATTATCTATCTATCTATCTATCTATCTATCTATCTATCTATCTATCTATCTATTCCATCGAGTGTCTGTCTACTGTCTACCTCATCAAATCTAAGATGCTAAAATCATAAGATGCATCATTATTTTATGACCCACTCAGAGCTGGCGGGGAAAGGCCCCATGGATCCTTGTGCGATACCATTTGCTGAAAGATACCTCCTGATTCAGAGGCATTTAAATGAAATAATGAAATATATGCATTTCAGAATCAAAATAAGACCTACAGCTCTCAGTCACAAATCAGCATATTTGGCTTCCCACATTGCGATTGGTTCTCAAATGCCTTAAAAAATAGTCTAAATTTGTTGCTGCCAACATCTAAAACCTGGAAGATGTTACATGAAAGCCAAGTTTCTCAATTCCTTTGAAAAATTCAAAGAGTTGGCAACACTGGGCCCACATTCCCAAAATAGCGACCTTTGGCTGGGTCAGTGGAGGCTGACCCCTTCAGACTAGATGTGGGCTCTCTGGTCCATTACAGCTCACCCCACGGGCTGCTGTGTCCCTTCACCATCCCCTCCACCCACTTCTATTTGCCTCTCAAGCCCCTGAATGCATATATATACGTGGATATATGTATATGAAGACCCATATATACTATGTCTCTATTTGTCTATCTCTAAATCTTGATCTCTGTCAACCACCAGAAATGTCTCCTCTCCTTTATCTCACTGCCTTCTCCATTGGAATCTCTGGGCCTGTTTCTCCCCATTTCTTCACTGCTGAGAATCTCTTTCCCCTTAAGAGGTCTCTGTCTCCCACCACGGTCTTCATTTTTCTCTGGATGAGTTATTATGTATCTCTTCGTGCCTCCTGACTGCCTGCATCTTTCTCTTTCTCCTTGTCTTTTCAGCCCTCTGGTCCTCCTCATATAAACCTGTTTCTCTTTCAAACTATGATCTGTCTCTTCGCGGCTGTGTCTTGTTTCTGTCTCTGAGTGTCTTATGCTGTGGCTTTGTGGGTCCTTCTTCGGAAAGCTGTGTTGGGGGGGAGCTGCCGGTGTGATGGACATGGCAGCAGAGCCTCTAAGGACAAACCCTTTTCACCAACAGTGCGGTACCCACTCACGCTGCAGTGTGCCAACGTCAGCATCCTGGAGCCCAAACTCTGCCATCGGGCATATCCGGGCCATATCTCAGACAGCATGATCTGTGCTGGCCTGTGGGAAGGGGGCCGGGGCTCCTGCCAGGTGAGACCTACTCTGGAAAGGAGGGCGATGGGTAATCTGCTGGATTCTTGGGTCCTGGGGGAGTAGAGAGTTGGGGCCCAGAATTCCTGGATCAAAGCAAGGAGAGCTGGGACACCTGGGTCCTGGGAGAGAATGGAGCCAGGCGAGGACTCCTGGATCTAAAGGAAGAGAGAACGGGGGGACCAAACTCTTTTAAGTCCTGGGAAAAAGGAGGCTAGGGGCCCAGAGTGCTAGGTCCAGAGGTGAGGTGAGGCCTGTGAGTTTTAACTCCTGGGTCTGAGGGATGAGGGACTGGAGATCTGGATGCCTGGGTGTTGGGGAGGCGGAAAACGGGGACTCCCGAGAGGGAGGACATGGACTCCTCATGAACAGACCCGCCTAACAGTTTCTCTGCTCTCATCCTGCTCACAGGGTGACTCTGGAGGTCCCCTGGTTTGCAACGGAACCCTGGTGGGTGTGGTGTCTGGGGGTGCCGAGCCCTGCTCTACACCCCAGCGCCCCACCGTCTATACCAGCATATGTCACTACGTGGACTGGATCCAAAAGACCATGGAGGACAACTGAGTCCTCGCCCCTTGGACGACTGAGAGAGGGTGGGCGCAGGGTAGGGTGAACTGCAGGGATCCAGCCTCCAGGGTCTCCGCCTCGGCCTCAGCTGCCCCGAGACGCCTTCCGGATACTCAGGCCCCGCCCCCAGGAATGGAGATGGGAGACACCTCCGCCCCACGTGGCCCCGTCTGCATGACGTCACCGAGAACTGGCACCACCCGCCTGGAACAGCAGCACCCTGAGGCTCTGAGGGTGGAGCCAGATCCACCAAAACTCCTCCCCTCAGAACTTGTCCAATGAGACTTCCCCTCTGGAGTCCGCCCCTGGCCCCGCCTCCCCGTCAGAAACCCCTCCTCCGTGACGTCAGGGCACGTTGGCCCCCACGTGGAACTCAGGAGGAGTAGGGCTCCGCCTCTCGAGGCCCCGTTCTGGGTGTGTCTTGTGTTTGAATTCTGACGGGGACCCGATTACGAGAAGTTGGGGAAAGGTCCCAGTTCTTTCAGACCCAATGAACAATTTTACAATAAACTCGCGAAGCCGCACCTTCCTTCTGCCTGCGTTGGAGGGTGAAGGAAGGGCAACAGGTGGGCAGTGGGGGGCACACAGGGATCCGCCAACGCGTTGCAATTCCCTTTAAGACCCTGGTAAGTCCTGCCGACGTCTGGCTGCATCAGCCCTATTGCAGCACGGCTCCTGGGTTCCGCTTGGGCTGGTCCCCAGGGGAAGGGGAAACCGGGTCATGGAGCCTCCCAAACCTGCCTTCCCAGATCCCGGACCTCTCAGGGGGCGGGCGGGCGGGGCCCGATCCGCCTGCAGAAGTCGGGACCAAGAAGACCCGCCTCTCTTCCATTCTGGGTTACTGGCAGCAGCCCTCTCCTCCCACAAGAACCAGGCTCCAAATCCCTCCTTCAAAAAGACTTACGAATTAAGTTGCCGGCCCCCGTCTTCCTCAGACCCTGGAGTCCAGGCCCCCAAAGCCTCCCCCGTCAGACCCCGAGTCCAGGATCCCAGCCTCCTCCCCCGTCAGACCCAGGAAAGAGTCCAGGCCCTCCACCCCTCCTTCCTCGGACCGAGCCCTCCCGGCCCCTGGCCCCTCCCTCTGACCCAGTTGTCTGGGTCCCTGGTCCTTTCCTGTTTCAAACCCAGGAGCCAGAGCAGATCTCCTTCTCTCCCCTGCCTCAGGAGCCCAGGAGGTTCCAGTCCCTCCTCCCTCAAGATCTCCCGTTTAGCCCCTCAGCGCCCCTTCACTCACACCCAGGGTTCCAGTTCCCCGAAGCTCCGCAGGCCCGGGAGCAGGAGGCGGCGGAGCAGGAGACGGGGATTCCCGGTTAAAAGGCTCTAGGATCCTGTACCAAGCAGGCAGAGCTGCGGTACCCGGGCCTCTTTGGGCCGGAATCAGTAAGTGACCCCGCCCCTGGATTCTGGAAGGTGAGATGCTTAAGTTCCCGGATGCAGCCATCAGCCCCGGGGGGGTGGGGGGTGGGGGCTCCTCCTTACTCAGAACCCGGGACCCCAACCTCAGACCCCTCCTCCTTCAAGATCCACGAATCTGGAGCACAGTCCCTCCTCCGCAAGACAGGAGTCTCAGCCCTCAGCTCCTCTTTCCCCCAGAAAGGAAACACCCCCTTTCCGGGGGGGTGGGTGTCCTTATAGATGACCAATGGGTCCTCACGGCAGCCCACTGTAAAACAACGTGAGTGGATGCCTGTGGCAGAGGTGGGCTGGGGCCTGAGGAAAGGGAGGAAGAGAGCTGGGGTTTGGCCTCTCAGAAAGGAGGGCTGAGGGAGGAGGGGCTGCTGGGGGCCTGGACTCCTGGGTCCTAGCGAGGAATGTAGGAATGCAACCCCCCAACCTACCTTTCCTCAGATTCAGAAATCTGGGGTCCCCCTCCTTCTTCCTCAGACCTAAGAATCTGGGTGCCCAGCTCCTTCCTCCTGCAGGACCCTGAAGGTTCCAAGATCCTACTGGGATTCAGGGCTCCTCCGGCCTCACCTCTCAGCCCTGCCCTCTCTCCCAGACCCCACCATGGGACGCCCCCAACCAGCTGCACTCTGGACCTGCATGTTTCTGCTGCTGCTGTTGGAAGCCTGGGCAGGTGAGGGTGGCCTGAAGGCCTGTGGGAATGCCACAGTGGCCATGCGGATGCGTGTGGGGGCATGCGGTGGGATCTGCGGCGTGCCATCACACATGGGTTCTCCCGCGGGCTTTCCCAGGGATGGGTGCTGCATGCACACCTGGCAGCAGGTAGGAGCGTGTCGGGTTATGCTGCACATTACATGAGCACACATAGCCAGCAGGGCTGACGCTGAGGGGCGCAGACACACAAGGAGTATACGGTGTACGTGGACGCATGTGGGAGCATGTGGAAGCCTGTTCAGGTATGTGCTCCGGGTGTGCCAACTCACGGGATTCAGGAGGATCTGTGTATCCCTGTGGCCGCATGTGCAAGCTGGCGCCTCACCCATGAGGGTCAGTGGCCGTGTGAGGAGGCAGCCCAAGAACTTTCATGTCCATTTGAACCCACAGTGGTTTTCCTGGCGCCTGCACCGCCCCAAGGGGTGGCAATCCAACCCTCTCCCTCCTGCCACAGGACACTTGAGGGCGCAGAAGTCCAAGGTGCTGCAGGGCCAGGAGTGAGGGCCCATTCACAGCCTTGGCAGGCAGCCTTGTTCCAGGGCATCCGGCTGCTGTGCGGGGGTGTCCTTATAGATGACCAATGGGTCCTCACGGCAGCCCACTGTAAAACAACGTGAGTGGATGCCTGTGGCAGAGGTGGGCTGGGGCCTTAGGAAAGGGAGGAAGAGAGCTGGGGTTTGGCCTCTCAGAAAGGAGGGCTGAGGGAGGAGGGGCTGCTGGGGCCCTGGACTCCTGGGTCTGAGTGAGGACTGGATCCTTCCTGGGCCTCAAGCCACTCCCCACCATTACAGGAAGTACACAGTATGCCTGGGAGAGCACAGCCTGAAAAACAAGGAAGGATCAGAGCAAGAAATGGCTGTGGCTCAACCCATCCCACACCCCTGCTATGAGAGCAGCAGTGAAGACCACAGACATGATCTGATGCTTATTCGACTACGTGGTTGGGCATCCTTGGGGTCCAAAGTGAAGTCCACCAACCTGACGGATCACTGCCCTCGATCTGGCCAGAAGTGCACCATCTTGGGCTGGGGCACAGTCACCAGCCCTCGAGGTAGTAGGAGGGAGAGGAGGAGCTGGTTGGCCCAGTGGACCCCAAGCCATTGGCATAGGTTTACCTCCAGAAGGAGATAAAGAAGGGAAAGTGTGATGTTGAGATTCACAGGTGGCCCATGTTGGAAACCTTGAAGGCCAGAATATCAATTGGAGCCATGGGAGAAAGAAGCAACTAGCAGATTGTTAAGAAGGAATCAGAAAAATGGGTGGACGAATGAATGAGTCAATGAATGAATGCATCCCTCCTCTATGGTAATGAGTACCAAATGCCGTGTTATGAAACCTTTTTGTAATACAGGATTTTATATAACCTTCTTAACAGACTTGGGATATCCAGGCTCCTAAGCCTGTTCTCCCTCTTGAACCCAAGATTCCTGGTCCCAGATCCCCTTTTCCCTCACACCCAGGAGCCCAGGCTCTTCCTCCCTGAGGACCTACAGTCTGGGTCCCCAGCTCCCTCCTCACTCTGGACCCCAAAGTCTAGATCTCTATTGAAGTCCTCCCACTGGGACTTTGGAGCCCAGGCAGTCCCTCAATCTGCTTCACAGTGAAAAAAATCGACACTCAGTTTGGAGAGGCAAGTGATTCACCAGGAAGCAGCAAAGCCAGGATTCAGATCCCTGCCTGCCTGACTCATGCTCCTAAGGGGAAAATGGGATGTTGTGGAAACCCACCTGCTCATGAATCAGGCAGGCCAGTTCACACATGGCTCTGTCCCCTTTTCTCTGAGCAAGTCCCTTCCTTTCCTCATCTGCAAAATGGAGATAATTATCCAACAGATTTTTAAGCTCCATAAGGGCTCACGTTCTCTTCATTGAGTCTTCCTAGTGCTCAGGATGGTGCCTGGTACAGAGTAGGCGCTCGATAAATATTTATTGAATGGATGAACAAATGATGGAATGAATGAATGCCTCCCTCCTTCAAAAAGATGTTGTGAGGATTAAATGAGATTGGAGCATATAACTTCTGGCACACAGAGAAGCCAGGAAGAAGTTTTTCTTCCCTCAAGTCTATGGCTAAAGAAAGATTAATTTCATTTTCTTTTTCTTATTGAATTAACATACAGTATTTGATCAGTTTCTGTGTACAACATAATTGACATTCATGCACACTGAAAACTGAACACCACGATAAATCTAATTACCATCTGTCACCATACAAAGTCACTAAAGTTTTTTTCATTGTATTCTCCATGCTGGACATTACACGATTAATTCCACTTTCAATGATTAATTCAGCAATAAAAAATTAATTTTTGTGAGCACCTGATATGTCCCAGGTGTTGTACTCTATGAAGTCTTATCATTACAGAGTTATTGGCTAGGAGGGGGAAACAGACAATAGTAAATACATATAAAATGAAATGTTAGGCAGAGTTAAGTGCAATAATGAAATACATGGCAGGTAAGAAGATAAGGAGTGATGCAGGAGTGGTGTCTTAATTAGAATGGTCAGGAATGGCTTCTAGGAGGAGGTGACATTTAGAAGATGCAGGATTTAGCTGAGATGGAGGACATGGCTGTCTGGGGATGGGAAGATTGGAGAGAACAGGTCAGATGCATCACAAGAGGGCATCTCCAAGTCTCTAATCACCTGATCCTTCATCTGAAAATGACTCAGAGCAAGAAACAAAAGATTAGGTCCAACAGCCTTCTTTAGACAGAGAAAAGCATGGATCATCGCTTTGTTTAATGGGGCGAGAAGTGATGTGCACCACAAAATGTGTCAGAAAACTCCCCCATGCAGCCATGGATGCATATAAGGGAGGTCAGATCTAGACAGGGATGGAGGCAAAGGGTTGCTCTCTCTGGGAACTTACAACCTGTGTCCCCTTAGAGAACTTTCCTGACACCCTCAACTGTGCAGATAGAAATCCTTCCCAAGAAGCAGTGTGAGGACGCTTACCCTGGGGAAGTAACAGATGGTATGATCTGTGCAGGAGACAGCAGTGGGGCTGACCCATGCCAGGTGAGTGGCTTCTGAAACCCCTTTCTTCTCTTGTCCCTTGCCCCCTGTGGAGGCTTAAGTCTTGGCAGTGGGGTAGCCCCAGAGTGTTAGCGCCCGGAGAGGTCACCCCTATTTCTTCAGACTGGGAAGCAGATTCAGACTCTCCCTGCAGCTCACAGAGCACAGGGATCCGGAATGTGGAATTGTTGCGGTCATTTTCAGGAATGATACTTGCAGGATGGGGTGCAAGGAGGGGAGCAGTCACAGGGCAGGAGAGGTGTCCATGAAAGAGAGCTGCTGAGGCTAGAGGATACACAAGCTCCCTGCTCCTTTTCTCAGGGTCAGTTCCTGAAATTTGTGCTGACTATGCCGCTGATCAGGTAGTCAGCCACTTTCGTTTGGAACCTGACCAGGTTAGCACAGCTGCCTTCTCCTGTGATTGGTTCCTTGGGGAGCAGTGCTCTCTTCCCAACTGGGCAGGAAGTGGCGCCGTTGACTTCAGTGTCCCCTCACTAATCTCCCCTTCCCCAAGATGACAAATCTTGGGATTTGCCGTAGATACAGCACTCTCTTTCCTATTGGCTGCAGTTTCAGTTCTCAGGGTTCCCCCTCGCTTTATCCTCTTAGAGGAAGCCCCGCCTTCAGTGCTTTCTTCTCCACTGGCCAGGAATGGAGTAATTTCCATCAGTGATCCTCTTCCCACAAAGACTCCTACCACTGTCCCTTGTGTGTGTGTGTGTGTGTGTGTGTGTGTGTGTGTGTGTGTGTGTGTGTGAAAAACAGAGAGAGAGAGAATCTTGCTCCTTTTATGTTTGGTAAGGGGTTTCAATGATCTCTTCATCACTGGCCAGGAGGGCCGGAGACATCATCTCAGGGCCCGTCATGGAATCCCCACTGTCTTCTCTCTGGATTGGACCCTCAAGACAGCAAGCTTTGCCCTCATTGGTCAGGATTTCCTGCATAGCTCTTAGATTTCCTGTCTGTGTTCCCACCCGTGGAAGCCACACCCCTCTATTTCACCATTGGTCCCACGGTACAGTGCTCTTTCCTCCATTGGCTAGAGGGAACCAATCACACTACAGAACCAGTACTAAATGCTGGGTACAGCAAAACATCTTAAGCAAAAGTCTTACACTCTCCACCTCGCAGGGGGATTCCAGGGGCCCGTTGGTGTGTGGTGGCGTTCTCCAGGGCATCACGTCTTGGGGATCAGACCCCTGTGGGCAGCCCGAGAAACCTGGCATCTACATCAACGTCTGCCGCTACCTGAACTGGATCAAGAAGACAATGGGCAGCAAGGGCTGATTCCCCTCGATTCCCCTCAATAAACTCATAACCCCCACCTGGCTCCTTGCCTGTCTGGGCTCTGGCCCTGCCCGAAGGGACGGAAGGGACAGGGGTCTGCACCCTGTTGGGAGGCCTGATGAGAGGTCTACAGAGACCATGCCCCTGTAGCCTCTGTGGCCACCACCACTGCCTGAAATGGCTTTTTCTTTTTTTGTTGTTGTTCCTGGAAGGACTTGGAGGAATCAGAGGTTCATTTCAGGGAAGAAGACATGCAAGGATTTCTAAATAGCCAATGGGCTGGCCTGCGAAAGACACATTTTGAAAGCCTTTCTGTCCATATTTCTGGGCTGAAGTTTCTAAGCTTTGAGGGGTAAGACTTCCCCTACCCCATTTTATGAAAATTGTGAGATAAACAGAGTAGAGTGCAGGAAATATGTAACAGCTTAAATATGCACCTGGGTGAGGAATTCGGTGGGACAGCCCCCGAAAGTCTGACAGATTTTTTTTTTCCCTCAAGAGAAATAGAAATCTCTATCACAACTTAGAGCTTCCTCGAAGTAACTGCTGTGGTAGAAGAAAATGAGTTTTATCCTTGGTGATGTCCAAACGCAAGTGGCCAGAAAAGGACATTTTGGGGAGCTTTCATTAGATACTTTGGCTAATAATGTAAGTTGTCTTGGGAAAAGTGTATATGGAGATGGTAGTTATTGTAAGGATTGAAAGAAATTGCAACACCATAGAGGCTGGCTCCCCTCTGTGTCTCTCATCTCTTCCAGCTATGTTCCACTTCGTTTTTGCTAACGACCATCTGATTCCTTTCTCTACTTCTTTTCACAGTGTCTGCCTGCCCCAGGCTCTCCCTACTTCATAGCCCTAGAGCTTCACCTTCAGCTACAGCCGACTGATTGGCTTTCCCAGGATATCTCAAATTATGTTCTCATGAAAGAGAATCCAACCCCTCCAGTCTCCACTCTTCTCCTTGGGCCACATCATAGGTCACTGAGTGGCCAACAGCTTGACTGCTTTCTGGCCAGGTGACCAATCCTATCCAATTAGTGGGTATTTGGAGTCACATGACAGGACACAGGGCTCAGCCCCGGTGGGGCAGTTCTCCAGAAGAAGTGTGCTGTGTGAGCTGTTTTAGGTGAAATTCCCCAATACCAGATATCCTGAGGAAGTTTTTCATGGCGGAGGTGCCAGGGATGTATTTCTGGAGGGGCCACTGAAGGGTCATCTCAGCCCTCCAAGTTGCCTTAGAATTTTTATTATGGAAAATTTCAAACATATATAAAATAGAATACTGTAATGAACCCTCACACCACCAACCAGCTTAACAATGGTCAGTGTAAAATCAGTTCTTGTTTCACTTCTATTCCCACACACTTCCCTAATGCGGGAATATTTTGAAGCAAATATGAGTCATTTCATTCTTAAGTATTTCATGCATGTTTCTGAACTGGGATGGCAAACTATAACTGATAAATATCGCCTTTACTATTTGATTTAATGACAGAGAACATTAACTTTGAGTCCTAATTAAGCAAGATTTTATTTCCCCCACAAAAGAATTCCATTCGTCTTATTAACAGCCTGTATGACCAAAATTTGTACAAAATGGTTCTTACTGTATTTTGAATTTCATCATTTAAAAATGTGTTGAATTTTATTCTCTCTATTGTTATGCAAACACCTACCTAATATCCTCAATTTTGTCTTTGGTCCACAAAGCCTAAAATGTTTACTATCCAGCCCTTTATGGAAAGAGTTGGCCAACCCCTACTTTAAAAGATAGGCTTTTTTTTAACATCACCACCGTACATTATCACACCTTAATATCACCCAATGTCTGTGTAATGTTTTAAACGTTCACAATATAAACCAGAGAGGACTTGAAGATTGATTTATGGTATTAAGGTGAGGGGAGAGGTACTGAGGTCTAGGAGGGGAAGGGACTTGTCCAAGGTCAACCAGAAAGTCAGGAATAGAATGGTGGACTGTGGAGTCTGGCAGGAGATCAGAGCACTAGGCATGAACGGCAGCTGGAAGGAGCCACTGACTCAAGAAGCTTGCTTCTGCCTTAGTCTGGGAGCTTTTGGATACAAGTATCAGAGCCCCAGTTCACACTGGCTTGTGCATAGGGATTGGCTGGTTTAGGCGTCTAGGAAGGCTGTGGGGATGGTTCATGATGTCAGAGGAAGCGGCGTGGGTACCGGAGCCTCAAGTAGTTGAAACGGTGACTTAAGCCAATCAGCTTTCTCCCTGACTCCCCGTCACTCCGCCTGCCTCCTCTGTCTCTCTTTCCCATACGTGTGAGCTGTTTTCCATCTCTGCTTGTCTCATTCCTTCTCCTCTAGATCTCATTCTAGCCTCTGTAGTCAGACCTTTTCACCTGGATAGAGCACAGCCGCTATTGGCAGACTTAGTTACGCAAACCCAGCAGAAACAAAGACTTCCTTTCTCCTGGCATCTTGATATTACACACAGGGGAGAATTCTGATTGATCCTCCTTGAACGGAGCCCACCCCTTGGATCGACATTATTGCCAGGGATGAAGCCGTGCCCTTGTTAGTTTGGCCAGTGTCATGCCAGTGGTTGGGTGAGCCAGTGGAAAGGTGTGGAGAACTATGATTAGCAGTGTCACCAGAACTATATGAAATGAGGGGACAGCTTCCCCAAAGAAGTTCAGGAGCTGTTCTTGAAAGAAGAGGCAAGACAATCCAGGAAGTCGGGTACAATGGGCCTCCAGAACCCTAGGGGCTGAGTCAGGAGGTGCCAGGGCCACAGTGTACAGGATTCCTCCGGGCAAGACACAGCTGGCAGGAGAGCCAGAAGCCAGCACTCAGGTGTGCTCATGAGCTGGAAGATGAGTCATTAGGCACGGGTTCAGGACATAGGTCTGAGGTCGAGGGAGGTATGAAGCTGCGTGTCTGTGTGGGACTTAGGGACAGGTGCTGGTGCTAAACCAAAGGGCATGGGGGGGCTGGGATTTTTGGCTGTCATCTACACGGGGCTATGCACCATTAATAGGACCGTGGGATCCCAAGTCCATTTGGAACCAAATAAGACTCAAGGGTGTGTGAGGGTGTCCCAGGGAAATTCCCTTCTCAGAGCGTGGGTTTGTGTAATCATGTTACTGTAGGCAATCTCCCGCGCTCGAAGTCTGCCCTTTCGGACTCTTCAGTGCACAACTTTGAGCAAAGGATCTAACCTCTTTTAAATCTTCATTTTCTTGTCTATAAAATGGGGAAGATAATCATCACTTGGATCCGGGTGAGGAATAGACGGGCTCTAAGAAGCGCCTGACACGTCACACAATGGGTACTGAAGAAATGAAAGCTGCCTCGTCCACTGGGTGGTGGGGAAGGGAGCTAATATTAATTCAGTGCCTGCTTTGTGTTCATCCATTTCTCTTTCATAATTTTATGTAATCCTTCCATATGCCTTGGGAAGTAGATTTTGCTCTCCCCTGCTTTAGAGAGGGGCAAGGTGAGGCTCAGAAAAATCAAGTCATTTACCTGAAATCAGAGGGCGGACAGCTGGGATTCGCACCTAGGTTGGTCTTACCTGTGGGGCCAAGTACTTTCTATCACACCCTGTGGCTGAATGGCTCAGAGATCAAGGAAGGACTCAGTGTAAAGTTGGCAGATCTAGAGATGACAGTGGTTTGCAAACTAGTATTTATTTAAGTACCCCCTATGTTCCCTGGTCTGGGCTAGGCCCTAAAGAAAATACCAGTGAGCACCAGACACATTCCCTCTGCTCCTGAAAACCAGTGTTTTGCAACAAAATCAGATTAAATAATGAAGAACACAGAAGGAAACAGGCAAAGCACAGCAGGAGAGAAGTTCTGGTGGTTTCACAGTGAAGAACAGGACTCCAGAGGAACATTGCAACTTCCCTGGATTTTAGCAGAATGAGGAGAGAGCAAGTCAAAGAGAAAATCCAGGGATGAAAATTTTGGTAGGAGATAACAAATGGAAAGTCTTGTTGAAATTCCTCTTTGGAAAGCCAGGAGGAAAGATACAGATTTCTCACTCGTGGGGCTGTGAGGGGAAGTGGTTTGGGGTCACCCCCTACTTGATTTGGGACCCAAGTCAGGAAGGTCAACACCCCTCAAAGTCAGGGTCCCTCTGTGGAACTGGTGGGGTCAGGTGCCCAGGTTCTGGCATCTGATTTTTGGATTTAATGAGAGTTGGTGTCTCAGAAGGTTTGGAGACTTAGCTTGGATTTTGCCATTACAGGATCAACATCAGTATGGTATTGTTGGTAGACTTTATGTTAGAGTTTGTGTGGAATTGGTAGCGTGTGGAGTTGGAAAGATGAAGATGAGAATGGGGAAAGAGTTGGTCTTGGAAATGAATATGAGATTTCATGTAGAAATTGGTTTGGAGATGAGAATAGGGCCAGGACTGGAGTCAGAGTGTTAAGACTGGTGTGAGTTGGGAATGGAGAGGATGTCAGGAAGGGCTTCCTGGAATATGACAGGGATGGAGACCATGGCCTGGTCTGTGCATGGAGTCAGGTTTGGGACCGAGGCTATGGTAACATTCAGTGTTGGGGTTGAGGTTGAGTTTGGCTTATGGTTAGGAATTCAGGGTTTGGGTCAAGTGTCAGAGTTAAGGTTGACTGAGGTGTGTGTCAGAGCCTGAGTTGATACTTGGAGTCAGGAACTTGGTCCGGTACTAGGTTCCAAATTGAGGTATATGCTTAGACTTGGTCAAGGACGAAGCAAAACTGAGAGTGAGGGTTGGGTATGTGTTGAGGTTTTGGGTGAAGATTCCAACTGATGTCAAGACTGGTGTTGAGAATTGTGCTGAAATAAGGATTGGAGTTAGAATTATGCTTGACATCAGGGACTGAGGACTTTATCACCATCTTATGAGCACTTGAATCATATTCAACCAGCCCTTCTCAGTGAATGGCACCACCACCCACCAAGCAAGGGACTTTAAAGCCTTAACATCAGTCTGTCCCACCACAGCCTCCATTCAATCCATTGCCAAAGCCTATTGATTCTCTTTCCTAAATACATCTTGAATCCACCCAGTTATTACCATCTCCACCTCCTGAATGGCTTTGTCCAAGTCACCATCATCTCTCATCTGGACCATAGCAATAGTTTCCTTATGTCTCCACATACCCTTAAAATCCATCCTTCACATAGCAGTCCAAATGACATCTTGAGAATAAAAATCTTGTTATGTCACTTTCCCCAACTAAATTTCAGTGGTTCACCATTGTTCACAGGTTAAAGTCAAACTCACCATGACATACAAGGTTCTTCATTGTCTGGTGCCAGCCTACCTCTGATCTCTGAGCTATATCCATACACCCCTTTCATCTCAGGACCTTTGCACATGCTGTTTCCTCTACATGATACACTTTCCAGGCTTCTTCCATTTTCTTCTAGTTAATGTTTACTGTTGTTTTGACTCTCAGCTAATTGTCACTTCCTGGGTCAAAACCTCTGGAAGTGCTTTCATAATACCCTGCACCTTTCCCTCAGAGCACTTGTTATGGTTATGATTTTCTATTTGTTAATGAAATATTCGATTAGCTTTCTTTTACAGCAGACTGTCAGTTCCTTGAGGAAAGGGACTCTGTCCAAGTTTGTCCACCACTATATCCTCAGCATGTAGCCCAACCACCAGGGAAGAGACTTTGAAGCCTTAACATCCGTCTACCTCACCACAGCCTCCGCCTGGTATATAGCTGGTGCTCAATACATGCCTCTGAAGTGTAGAGGATTGGGTCTGAAAGACGGATGTGGGAGGAGTGCTGGAGAGAGAGGTAGGACTGGAGGCAGGATTGAATCTGTCTATTTTTGTGGCTTCAAATTATAGATTCAAGTGAGAATCGGGTTTGGATTCATGGTTTGAGATCAGATTTGGGATATGAGTTGAGACTTGGCTGCAACATTGAGGTCTTATTAAGGAAGATTTTAGCTATGGGAACTAAAATGCCTAAACCAGGTAGGACACCTGAAGATGCCCTGAGATGAAGAAGTACCATAGTTGGCTAATTCACTAGCTCAGCGCCCTCGTCAAAGACCCTAGACGTCTCCATCTCTCTGGCCATCTGCAGTGTATTGGCTTGTTCTGCCAGTCATGTCTCTCCATGGTCCCAGGAGGGCTGCCATAATTCCAGAATTAATGTCCAGAAGGAACACCAACTAGCAGAAGAAAGGAGAACTCTTCCAGTGTCTCTTATGGAAATAAGAAAGCCTTTTCCAGAAGTGCCCCAGTGGTCTTCCCCTCACTCCTCGTTGGCCAGAGCGGCATCCCATCACATTTCTCAAGCAGTCATGGGAAGGCAGGATACAGCTTCCAGGCTTCGTGCAGGAAAGCGGACAGTCATGGTGAGAAGAAAAGATTATCCAAATGAGGTCTGGCTTCTGCTAGAAAGGAGAAGCAGTGAATGCTTGGCAACAATAATGTGTATTACGGGTTGGATCATGGGATGAAGGTAGAATTGGGTTAGGAGTCAGGACTGAGACAAGATTTGGGCTCAAAGCTGAGGAACCAGTCACATTTTCTGGGTCTGATTTAGAAGCTAGGGTCAATTACTCTTTTAGGAATTTGCCCTCAAGTAATAATCAGACAATAGTTCCCATCTTACTCAAAGTAAAAGACAAAGTCCAACCGTCTTCTAAGACCCATGTCATTGCTTGTCTTTGCCCCCCTTCTCACTTAGCTCCTTTCAAAACAGCTTTCTTACTGGATTCCAGGCATGCGCCTTGCCTAATTCACCTGCCTGTTCCCTCTGCCTGGAATCCACTATCCCTGAGAAGCTGCATGGATCCATCCACCACCTCTTCAAGAGATTTTGCTTAAGTTTCACCTTCACATGGAGTCTTTCCAAATATCTTTCCTAATATTAGAGGCCCAGGAATCCCTGAGAGAGGAGGGAACCAATAACTCACTCTGCGTCGCACTTACAGCCCCCTAAAGTACAAACTATATATATTTTGTACTTATTTTTCTATTCAGTCTCTGTCCACTAGAATGAGAATCTCTGTGAAGGAATCTTTGTCTGCTTTCTTGACAGCTATATCTCCAGGAGGAGAATAATTTCTAGCACAGATGCTCAGTGGCTACTTCCTGAATGAGCACATGAGCAAAGACGAATGTACAAAGAAGTTCATCCTAGCATTATTTTCATTAAAACTATCCAAATAGACTTCGCACTGACTACACAAATCATGGTACAACAATAGTATGGAATATTATGCAACCGTTAGGAAGAAAGAAAGGAGAAACTATCTACACGTATTAAGAGGAAAAATGTTTCTTACAGAGTAAAAAAAAAAAAAGTTCTATTAGATAATGTTTGGTATAGACGTTTTGTTGTAAATATGTAATATGTACAGAAATATGTGTATAATATGAGAAACAGACCAATTTGATAATAGTAAGTAAGCATTTAGTGGGCTGGAGTTAGAGGAAGCATTCTCTTATAAACTTACACCCATATATTAGGGTCGGGAATGGGTTTGGGCTCCAAGACATGACTGGGGTCCAGCCTGGACACTTTCCCACGGGCTGGTCAGAGTTAGGTAGAGGGTCTAGGCCCCCCTGAGAGTGGGGTGGGCACGCAAATGACGTCAGAGGACGACCCAGGCCAAAGCCCATCTGCTGAGCTCGGCCCTCCTGCCCTGGGCAGCTCCTTAGAGGCGGCCCTGGTCCTTCCCTCGGCACAGCCACCAGGGATGGCAGGGCCAGAACGCACAGGGGCCAACGAGGCGGGTACCGCCCTGCCGGGACCTCGGGAGGGAGGGTGGAACAAAAGCAGAGTGAAGCCTATTGCTCTAGCCGCCTCGGGGCCTCGAGATTAACCCAGGATGGGGGCGTCTAGGAGCCAACTCCGCCTGCACCCCAGGGCAACGGGGGCGGGCACAGCGGGTGGCGGCGGTATAAGACGGCGGCGTTCCCAGGACTGGAGACGTTTGGCTCCCTCCTGTGTCTGGAGCAGGGATCAGACCAGGCCCTCCGGAGGTGAGAAGGGGCCTCACGGGGGTGTTGGGGGCTGGATCTGGCTGCACAGGCGACTCCTGCTCCGGAGGGATGAGGGGCTGGAGATCCGGACTGTGGGGGTCTCTTGGGGGAAGGAACTGGGGATCCAGACTTAGGGATGAGAAGGGATGGAAGCCGATTCACTGGTCTGAGAGGAAGGGTGTTGGAGGCCTGGACTCCTGGGCCTGAGGGGGGAGGGGGCTGGGGGCCGGGGGCCGGGACTCCTGCTTCCTGAGCTCTTTGTCCTCCCCAGTCCCAGCGGAACAGAACTTTCCTCTGTCTGGCAGCCCCCCGAGAGGCTCAGAGAGGCCACCATGGCAGGACACCTTTTCCTTCCCCTGCTGATTCTGCTACTGTCCTTAGTCCTGGGATCTGCAGGCCAGGAAGGTGAGGGCCAGACCGGGAGCCCCGAACTCACCTGAACTCACCCCTGGGCATCCCAGCGTCCGCAGGGGCCCTGCCCAGGGCTCCCTTCTCTGCCTCCCTCTGGGCCCCGGGGCCCCTGCGCCCTCCGGACCCAGCCTGCTGCGTTCAGTGTCCCTCCCCCTGGCCTCTTGATGAGATGCTCCTCGGGGTTCCAGGGCTCCTTCTGCCTCCTTCCGTCCTGTCTCCTGGTTCTCTGCACTGTTCTCCGGTTCTGCCTCTGTGTGTCTCTGAGCCTGTCTGGATCTCTGTCTCTCCAAAGCCCTCTGCTGCTGCCTCAGCCTCCCCACAACAGGTGCTACTCACGTTTTCCTCCATGTCTCTATCCAGCCCAGGATGACAAGAGTGGGGAGAAAATTATTAATGGGGTCCCATGTCCACGAGGCTCCCAACCCTGGCAGGTGGCCCTGCTCAACGGCAATCAGCTCCACTGCGGAGGGGTGCTGCTCAACCAGTGGTGGGTGCTCACCGCCGCGCACTGCATGATGAGGTATGCAGCAGGTGGCCGCCCCTCCCGGTCTCTGTACTCTGCCCCCCTGGTTCCCATCCCCCTCCCTCTGGGCCCCTGTCCCCTTCCATCTGGGTCCCCGTCCCCCTCCCTCTGGGCCCCTGCTCCCCTCTCTCTGGGTCCCTGTCTGAATGTCACTCCCTTCTCCCAGCCAGTACAACGTGCACATGGGAAGTGACAGTCTGAGTGATGCTATGGGCCAGAACATCAGGGCCACAAAGTCATTCCGCCACCCCGGCTACTCCACGAAGACCCATGTTAATGACATCATGCTTGTGAAGCTAAGTAGACCCGCCAGACTGTCACCCAGCGTGAGGAAAGTCAACCTGCCCTCCCGCTGTGACCCCCCGGGGACCACATGCACCGTTTCTGGCTGGGGTACCACCACCAGCCCTGCTGGTGAGGAGGCCTCAGTGACTCAGGAGCCCCCAGCACGCCCCTCTCCCCCCAGACCCAGGAGACGGAGAGTCAGGCCCCCCTTCCTCACCTAAACATGGAGCCCTGAGCGCCCTCCTCCTTGGGCCCAGGGCCCCTGCCCCCTCCCCATCAGCACGCAGGGGGCTGCAGGCGCAGGCCCCTGGCTGACCGCCCGCTCCTCCCCAGTGACCCTCCCATCGGAGCTCATGTGCACGGAGGTGAGGCTCATCTCCGCCCAGGACTGCAGGAAGGTCTACAAGGACCTGCTGGGAAACTCCATGCTGTGCGCCGGCATTCCCGGCTCCAATACCAACGCCTGCAATGTGAGACTCCCCTGTCCCCAGCCCTGGGGCTTCTGACTGCTTCCTCCCAGCACAGGGCCGCCCCTCCCCTCTCTCCAGAATCTGTGGATCTGGCCCTGGTGCTGAGCCCCCACACCCTCAGACCCGCTTTCCTAGCTCTACCACTTTCTCTGCTTAGATCAGGAGTGGGACCCCCAGAGGGCTGGCGTGGCCCTGGGGATGGGATAGAAAGTTGAATGGGAGGGAATGGGGGTGGGAAAGGTGAGGCTGGAACCAGAGGTAGGCAGGTGAGGCGCTCGCTTCGAACTTAATCAAGGGGCTGTCAAGAAACAGTAATCAAGACAAATCATATTCTACTAATGCAGTATTTTTTTAAATCAATGCAAAAGTCCATGATGAACAAAATATCAGAATTTTCAGAAAGAGCAATTGGTTTTACTGAATTTTCCATTTGTCCCAAGCTCCAACATGGTTCAGCAGAGCACTGTACTGACCCTCCCTTTATCTAAAGTTGGGGTGCCTTGTTCATCATGGATTTTTTCATATTAAATTTGATTTTTTTATATTGCATTAGAAATACATTAGAATATGATTTATTGCAATGACTGAGATTTCGCGCCTGAGCTAATGTCTCACTCACCTGGTCCAGGTCCTGGTGGTAGGGAGCACCACCTCTTCTCTCCTCTTTGTAACCCCTCCACCCCTGAACTCCCGTCTTTCCACATCTCTCTTTACACTTAATTTCATTCCCTTATTTTCCTACGTCTGTCCCTGTGTTGGGATCTGTCCCTCTCCCGTTCCCTACCCCTACATTTCTGCTCTCTATCCTCCTTCTCCTTCCCCTGTCCCCCATCCCCTTCTCTAACTCTCTCTCCTCTTTGGCTCCTTCGCCCTGCATCTGTCTCTCTCAATATTCCATTCTTTGCTCACATCAGCAACCTCAGTTTTCAGGGAAGATAGGAAAGTGTGTTTTAGGAACGGGTGACAGGATAGGTAGGGATGTGTGTCCTAGAAAATTGGGGGGGTTCCCCTTTTCCCCCTACTGAAGGCTGCCTTCATGAGTGTGCAAGCTGCGTCGTGCCACAAGCCNCTCTCTCTCCTCTTTGGCTCCTTCGCCCTGCATCTGTCTCTCTCAATATTCCATTCTTTGCTCACATCAGCAACCTCAGTTTTCAGGGAAGATAGGAAAGTGTGTTTTAGGAACGGGTGACAGGATAGGTAGGGATGTGTGTCCTAGAAAATTGGGGGGGTTCCCCTTTTCCCCCTACTGAAGGCTGCCTTCATGAGTGTGCAAGCTGCGTCGTGCCACAAGCCTGCACTAGTGAGAGTCCCTGCTTCGTTTAACACACTCCTGTTGCTGTCTCGAATTTCTTGATTTTTGAACAAGGGGCCCACATTTTCATTTTGCACTGGACCCTATGAATCATGTCATCAGTTCTGCCCCTGCTTTCCAGGACCACCCTGTCCCCCTTTCAGGCTGTAGGGAAACGTATCCATTCCCTGGAGATAAGATTCCCTCTCACACTGGTTTGGCCCCCGGGTCCTTAAAGATGGAAAGGAAGTGGGGCGCTGAGCCCCGGAAGCCCCGCCCCCTTCCCCATGACTTGTCCCATTGGCCAGGACTCAAGCCAGCATCTTCAGAGAATCTGGTTTGTTCTCTCCCTAGTAACATTAAATCTTGCTCTCCCATTGGTCCCCAGAGACAGTGGGTCTCTTCCCATTGGCCAGGGTGATCTGTCAGAGCAAAGACTTGAAGACTGTGGGATATTCGAGACCTCAGTGGTTGCTCTGAAGCCAGAGCTAACCTGCTCTCTCCTCTTCAGGGTGACTCAGGCGGACCTCTGGTGTGCAGAGGTACTCTGCAAGGCCTGGTGTCCTGGGGAACTTTCCCTTGCGGTCAACCCAATGACCCGGGTGTTTATACCCAAGTCTGCAAGTACATCGATTGGATAAACCAGACCATGAGAAGTCATCGTTAATCTCACCATACTCCCATCTCTCCATCTATGCGTCCTGGAACAGGAGATTCCCAGAAATAAGGACATCAATGAGTTATAGTCATATTTGACTTTACCTTTCAAAGACATATTAAAACCTCAACAATATGCTGTGTGTGTAAATCAGTCAAATGAGCAAGGCTCTTAAACCAAAACAAGAAACACAAAAACCCAGTGCTGGTAAAGATGCAGTGAGACTTTCACTCTCGACCTCTGGAACTATATATAAATTGAGTGGTTTTTATGGAAAACAGCTTGGCAAGGTGACCTGAGACCCTTATTCACTGCCTTTGATCCAGTAATTCTAGTTCTAGGAAGATCCTACTTAAAAAAAAAATTCAAGTGTGGAGCAAGGTTTGAGTTCATCACCTTATTTATCATAGTAAAACAGCAGAAACACTGCACATGTCCTAAATTAGTGGATTGTTTAAACAATCCTATTTGGGATAAGAATATTATGAAGCTGCTAAAGATAATAATATTGTAGAATTGTTATGCAAGAATAACCATACTATAGATGTAAATGAAAAAAGGAAGGTACAACAATATATATGTATGTGATCCTTGCCATGTAAAAGGAACTGTTCATGGAGTAAATCTGAAAAGATACACACCACACTGTATATGTTGGGTGTCGTGGGGTGCCTCCTGCCTTCCATTTACGTTTCTGTGGACGTACTCTTCTTTAACTTGAACAATAGTGGTGGAAAAGCCTTACAGATCTAATTTTGGGGAGAGGGAACCCTTAAGAGAGGGAGACCGGAAAGAAGACAGTATCTGGCTTTGAGCCCTCAATGGCCCCCTGTCCAGGGGCGTTCCTCTCTCCATATCCCAGGTCTGTTTTATCCCATCTGTAAAATGGGGGAGAGAGGAAGAGAAGGGAGAGAGGGAAGAAGGGAAGGAGGAGACAATATGCCTACTTGATGAGGGCGGGAAGGGGCGTGAAAGTGCTTCTGAGCATTTCACAGGTGACAAGCCAGAAGAGAGGGAGGTTTTCAGGAAGGACAGGACCGACAGGTGGATGGGACACCTGGGTCCTGCAAAGCCTGCCAAAAGTGAGCACCCAGCATACCAGGACCCAGCGGAGGACAGCGCTGGAACGTGGATAGGTGGGCTTCTCTTCCCAGAGGAGGCAGGGAAGCGGGCTCTGGAAGGGAGGCGTCCCCCGTGACTCAGAGCCTGGCCACGCCCCCTGCCTCTGCCATCAAAGGCTCCCTGGGCAGTCACACCTCAGACTGTTGACAGGCTGTGACAGGGGTGTCTCCAGCTCAGGACTCACCCTCCTACCTGTCTTTCCAGTTTTCCCTCAGAATTTCTTGTTAGCCAACATCCTGCAGATGCTTCCTCCTGGCATTTCATATACCTTCTGAGTCTCTCCTAAGCCCCGCACCTCCCGACCCTCCCCCATACCGCAGAAATTCTGCCGCCACCCACTCTCTACACACAGAAGGCTACGCGCCCACCTTCCCCAGACCCAGGAGTCCAGCCCCGAGCCCCATCCTGCCTCTGGATTAATGTCAAGCTTTAAGGAATGCCAAGGGCTTGGGGCCAGTTTGTCCTAGTGGAGCTCTATCAACTTCCCTTCTGCCCAAACAAGGCACTCCAAATCAATAGTCAATCTAAAACTTTAAAAAGCAGCAAAACATTGCAGTGGCACTCAGTCAGCATAGAGGTGTCAACTGGATGCAGCAGGAGACGCCTGGCCTTGCTCCCTGGCAACTCCTGTGTACAAGTCTGGAGATGCATGGTTTGCAGTGACTTGAGACACTTAAACTCCCGGTGAACTTAAAAAAAAAACACATACCTTCATTCTTCTCGCCCAGACAGTATTGCATCGTAGTTAAAGCCACTAACTCTCGAACTAGGCTCCTCGGGGTCCAATCGGAGCTCTGGCACCCCCAAGCTATCTGCCTTTGAGCACATGACTTCCCCATCCCCTTTCCTTCATCTTTGAACCCACTTCCCAGGGCTGTTATGAAGATTAAATAAGTTTCATATTCAGAAAATGCCAGAAAGTTGCCTGAAAGATGAGCCTTCTCTGAGTGTGTGTTTTAATTGTTCATGACTTTTTCCTGCTTATAGTCTCATAAAGTTTTCTTATAAAACATTTTCTTTATTGAAGACTTTTGCAGAGCCTGTCAGTTTGGAGAAACACATACTGTATATAAGCTTGCATGGCACATGGGGATGGCAAAACTGTGATGGCCACTGGCAAGTGCCCAGAACTGGGGACTTTATTCACTCAGTAAGAGGTTCCTCCACTCCCCACTGCCTACTGCCTACCGCCTTTCCCATTCGGCTCTCAACAAGTCCTCCCAAGGCCACCCATTTCACAGTTAGGAAGGTAGACCCGATGCAGGCACCAAGAGATGGGTCGAGTGCCCTGCCACGTTGGAAGCTGGGTTGGAAATTCAGGTTCCACCATTTCCAGGGTGTTTGATGTTGAGAAACTGACGTCCCTTTTCTGAGCCTCCATTTTCTTTGCTGTAAAATGGGGGTGGGTGTAATGGAGTCATTTAGTCATTTGGTCAACAATTCTGAAGGTTTCCTCTAGACTGGGTTCTATGCAGGTGCTTGGGACACAGGAGTGAGTCAGCCTGGGTGCCTGCCCTCAAGGAGCTCGTGGTCCAGTGGGGGAGACGGACGTAGATACACATGCTCATGTGTGACTTGAGGGAGGCACCTGTTGTAGGATCCTAGAAGAGAGAGCGACTAACCCAAACTGCTGGAGGTAGAAGTTGGGTGGTGTTCAGGGAAGGCTTCCTGAAGGAAGTGATGTCTAAGCAAAGACTTGAAGGACAGGTTATTGTCAGAAGAAGAGCATCCTGGGAGGGGGACTAGCATGGGTGAAGGCTTAGATGTCAGAAGGCATGGTATGGCTCAAGAAAGCTTCAAGGAATCTCCTCTGCTGGAGCACCGAGAGCTGAGAGAGAGAGAGACGAGGGGTAGGAGCTGGGCTGTGCAACATGATAGCCAGCCACCCCAGGGGCTCCTTACCTTTGAAATGCGGTGAGTTTCAATGGAGTCACATTGTCAGTGTAAAAGACATGTGAGATTCTAAACACTTACTGTGCAAAAAACAAGAAGGCAATCTATCTCTTTACATCCTTCTTCTTTTGATTTCACGTTGGAATGAAGATAGTTTGGATGTGTGGGGTTAAATGAAATGTTAAAATGAATTCTTCTTGTTTCTTTGTGTCCCTTATCTTTAAGTTGTGGCTACTAGACAATTTAAAAGTGCATGTGTGCCTGGCACTATATTTCTATCGGCCAGGACCGCTCTGGGCACTGTAGGTCTCGCAGCACCAGGCTGAAGGTCCTCCAGTGCTTTGTCCCAAGGGCAATGGGGGACCCAGGGCAGGGCTCTCAGCAGGACAGGGGCAGGGCTGGCTCTGGATGCAAGAAGCCTCCTCTGGAGCCAAGGGAAGGATACGGAGGATGGGAAAGAGCCTGGCAGGTTGGGGGGAGGATGGTCCCGGTGGAAAGGAACATTTGGAGCTGGGGCCAGCGACAAGGGGTCAGAGGAGGGGTCCTTATAAAGAAAGGAGACAGAGGGACAAGGCTTGGGGATCGGGAGGTTGTGAGAGGTCCAGCCTGGGGTCCGGGAGGCTGGTGAGTCCTGAGAGGAAGACTCCATCCAGTGCGGACACGCGTGCGAAGGGCCTGGAGGAAGCGGGGGCAGGCGGAGCGGCCCCAGGGAGTATGTTAAATGCCAATGGATTTTCACCCCAAGAATGATGGGAGCCAAGCAAAGACTGTGGCAATTAGATTAAATACAAGCAGAAAGGTTGCCCATAGTAGGCCCGAGCTGGCGCTAAAGAGAACATGCTTGCTATCAGTTGTCCTTATGACCCAATGACATCCCCATAAGCCCTATTTCCTTTCTGCACCTCCCCGTCCCCAGTGTCAGCCACACACGCTGGCTCCTCCGGCCCACACTCACCACACGCCAGGCCTGTTCACCCCATCCTCTCCTGACCAACACCTGGCTTGGCCTTCAAGGCCCAAGTTCAAAGACATCTCCTCAACTGCCCCTGGATTTCTCTGTGGCTGCCAGGGCCCCCATTTCACACTCCCATGTCACTCTCAAATTCCTTGCACCCCTGCTTATTCCCACGTCTCCCCCTACATGCTGAATTTCACTAGCCCAGAAACCCCACCGCTGCTCCCCATTCACCCAACACCCCTCTGTGTACACCCACATTTCTGGAATTGTAGGAGGAAGCTAGGGGAAGGTGGGAAGAGAGGGACTTGGTGTGGCAGAGACTCAGAGAATCAAGGGGAAAGACAGAGATACCAAGGAAAAGATGCAGAAAGGCAGAGAGAGAGAGACATAATAGAGGCACACAGCGATAAACACCGACACACACAGAGACAAAGAGAGAGACAGACATGCAAACACCTCCTCCAATGCCAAGGGGACAGATGGACAGGGAGGCCTCAGAGCTGGGCAGACTGGGAGGAGGGGGTCCAGAGGGTCACACGTCCTGATATTCCGGCAGAGGCGGTGGACAAAGGACAGCAATAGGACTGACTGTCAGATGGGAACAAAGCAAGGCGATTGATGCCGCCGCCCGCCTGCCCGGAAGAGAGGTTGAGAAACGGAGCTGCTAGGAGCATGGCACTGGGTGCTGGGGGAGGACAAAGCCCAATTGTCACAGGCCCCTTTTCCCATAGCACTTGGGCCTGTGCCCCAGCCCAGGGCAGGGGCGGGTGCCAGATTGGTGACACATGCTTTCTTGCTGGCTGGTCTCTCGTGGGGACACGGAGGTCGTCAGCACCCACAGAGGGACTTCCGGGCAGGTGCGTGTATCACCCCCACCCCACTGAACCCTCTGTCCCCAGAGGGAGTCCTGCAGGTCCTGTGCACACACAGACAGAGGTGATGGGATTGCTGGAGGCTAAAGGGCTCCGTTTGCTGGCCTGGCTGCTGGCCTTTGGGCCCTCAGACGCTTTCTTGGCCAACCTAGAAGTCTGGGGACTGAGGAGAACCAGATGCATCTTTCCCTCCTTTGGACCCAGGAGTGCAGCCCCCAGGGCACTCAGGGACCAGTGCCCACCCCCCCCAGCCTGCGCCCAAAGCCTGGTTCTGGGGTGGGGGAAGCAGGAGGAGAACCACAGACACAGGGCAGCTGGAATGTGTGTGGGAGGCCTGGGTGAGGAGCAAAGGGTGTGGCGCCTCCTGCCTCAGGGGCTGGGGAGGCAGGGGTTAAAGGGAAGCACCACAAGCTCCTGCACAGAAGACCTGCCTCCACCAGGGAGGTCAGGGAGCCCCTGTACCTGTCCCACCCAGGGCCCCTGCGCGCCCCACATCCTCTGCTTTCCGGCTGCGATTAGGAGGCATCTGCCCAGCCTTTGAGGTCCCATCTCTCCTCACAGCTCCCTGCATCTCTGACTTTCTGCCCCTCTGTCTGCCTGCCTGCGGCACGTGCCGCCCCTGGCCTCAACCCAGGAATCCCTCCACCGGGCAGCGGGTAAGAGCACACTGCACCCCAGAGCCTGCAGGTATGGGGGCGAGCGACAAGGGGAGCACAGGAAACAGCAGCAGAGCCCAGGGGCAGAGGAACGTGGGGGGCCTCCTGGGCCAGCCCACTCCTGGTACTCGGCAGGCAAAGCAGAGCCAGAGAGGGACAAAGACTGCGTGAACGCCGTTCTGGGAGCAGCCGCCCGCCAGATGTGCTTCTGGGCTCCCGCTGCCGCCTGCCTCCAAGGGACTCTCGGATGGAAGAAGGGGGCTGAGGACACGAGAATTCAGGAGGCGAAGCAAAGGACAGGCGTGCAGGGCCGGGAAAGCCCAGGGAGGTGGGAGAGGCAGAGGAGGGGGTCCTGGGGACTGATGGAGCCTTTGGCTTCCCCCCGCAGGGATGGGCACGAAGACGCTGATGGTAGCATCGCTCCTGCTGGCCGCAGGTGGGAGAAGGGGAATGGGGACGGGGAGGTTTGGGGGTGGGGAGATGGGGTTGGTTTGGGGAATTGGGTAGCCTAGTTTTGGAGGTGGGGATGGAGATGGTCTTGATGGCAAGACAGAGTTGAGGTTCCCTTGGGGGTGCGCCTGGTACCTCCAGACCTCCTCAGTGATGCAGACCCTCCCTCCGCACTCAGCCCGGGCAGAGGAGCAGAATAAGGTGCTGCACGGAGGGCCCTGCGAGCAGACATCTCACCCTTACCAGGCTGCCCTCTACACCTCAGGCCACCTGCTCTGCGGAGGCGTCCTCATTCACCCACTGTGGGTCCTCACTGCTGCCCACTGCAAAAAACCGTGAGTCTCCACGTCGTGAATGACGACTGGTTGCGATTAGGCGCCGGGGGTGGCTTGCAGACTTCAGGGGTGAAATGACACCCACACGACCCTGTTGCCGTGTGAGGCCATCTGAGAAGCAGGTTCATCTGGCCAGTATTTAACTGAGCACTAAATATGCCAGGCGCTGTTCGGGACGCTGGGGGTAAAGCAATGAAGAGAGCAAGTGAAATCGGCCTTCTTACTGGGGAGTCAGATTGGGCAGGTCCCCTGTAGGAAGCCAAGGAGACAGGGATTTAATCCCAAATGCAGTCGGAAGCCACTGGGGAGATTCAACCAGGGAAGCAGCATGGCCTGACTTACATTTTTAGGGCACGCTGGCTACCATGTGGAAAGAGGAGGTGAAAGGGCACATGTGGTGGGTGCTGCCGCTGTCTGGCAACCTGAGATGGTGGCTTGGGTTGGTGGGGGGAGTGGCAGTGAGACTGGAAGGAACTGAACACCTTCGGAGGTTCTCTGAGACTAAGACTTGGTAATGTGGGGTGGGAAGTAGACATCAAGCAGGGCAGCCTGGGGCTAGTTCTCAGGACACTGTTAATCAATAGATAAACAACAGCTCATCAGTTCCTTCAACGCTAATGTGGGCCAACTGCTGAGTTAAGCAGTTTATATACCCTTCCTGGAATTCCCACAATAGGGGCTCTTGGCAGATGAGAAAACCGAGATCCACAGAAATAGCAAGTGAGCGCTCAAGTGCTTGGAAACCAATCAGTGCCATGCCCACTGTGGGGCAGGGTCTTATGCAAAGTCAAGGACTCAAGGACTTGCAGGGTGGTCTCCCCAAAGCTCAGGACGACCTGGCATCACTGCCCCTTGCCATCCGCTCAGCGCACACTGATTCTAAACACTCACTAAATGCTAGACATGAGCCGGGCAGTGGGGATTAGCAAGGGAGTAGAGAAATGCACAGGCACAGAAGGACAGTTATTTAACAAACAAACCCTTGAAAAACCATGTGATTACAAATTACCCTACGCCCAGTGAAGGAAAAGAACAGGAATGGCTCCCTGAGAGAAAAGAACAGAGTTCCCTACATTACATGGAGGAAGGACTTTCTGAGAAGGTGAAATGCAAGCTGGCATGAATATGAAGTTCGGGGAAGAAGGGAGAGGGCATCTGGGCAGAGGAAATCCAGAGACAAAGGCCCTGAGGCAGAGACAGTCCAGCTCTAAGAGAAGAAAAGTTATCAGTTCACAGGCGCACAGAGGCTGGGGGGATGAGGAACTGTTCGTTCTGAGGGCAATAGGGAGCCACGGGAGAATTTTGAGCAAGGGAGTGACTCTGGTCTGTGTCACAAATATTTATTAAATACCTGTCATGTGCCAGGCACAGGTGTAGGCGCTGAGGATGTTGTATCTGAACAAAACAAAAATCTTGAAATTTTAGAGCTGTACCATCTAACTCAGGGCCCATTAGCCACATGAGGCCAGTTAAGCTTAGGTTACTAAAGATGAAATAAAATTCCCAATCCACAAGCCACCTTTCAAGTGCTCTGCAGCTGCCCGTGGCTAGTGGCCTCTATATCACACGGGGCAGACAGAGAACATTTCAATCACTGCAGAAAGTTCTGTGGAGAAGCACTGCCCCGGTGGGAGGAGCGACAATAAAACAAGTAAATATTAAACAACCCACATACAGTATATCAGATGGTGATGACAAGTCCTCTGGTAGAAAAGAAAGCAGTAGAAAAGGAGGTAGGATTTGCCTTTTCGTGAGGATATTTGCATTTATTGTTTGGGTTGCCAGGGAAGGCCTCACTGAGGAGGTGAGATCTGAAGGAGGTGAGGGACTGAGCCACAAAAATATCTGGGGGAAAGGTTTGCCAGCAGAGAGAACACCAGTGCAAAGGCCCTGGGGTGAGAAGATGACTGTGGTGCTCAAGGGAAGGCAGAGAAGCCAGTGTGGCTGGAGCAGAAGAAGAGAGGGGGAGAATAGGAGGAGATGATACCTAGGAGGTGATGGGAGCAGGTTGTGCAGGGCCTTGGAGGCCATGGTGAGAACTTTGGCCTCTACTCTGAGTGAAGTGGGAGTCATGGAAGGGTTCTGAGTAGATGAAGGGCAGGGCCTGTTTATGCTGTTAAAATACTTCCGACTGCTTTGCAGAGAATAGACCGTAGAAAGGCCAAGGCGGGCACCAAGGGAGTCGGATGAGGCAGCTCCTGGCAGAGCCCAGGTGAGAGAGGACGGCCCCTCAGACAGTGGGGGAGGTGAGAGGTGGTCAGGTTCTGGATATACTTTGGAGAGCCAAGAGCATTTCTGGACAGTTTGGATGTGAGGCACGACAGAAAGAGAGTCAAGAATAGTCACAGTGGTGATTCTGGAGAGATGGGGTTGTCATTTCCTGAGCTGGGGAGGCCTGAGGGGGGCAGACCAGATGGCTCCTGGCGGCACCAGGCCACCCCCACCTCCTGCCACAGCCAGCTCTGGGGTCTCAGCTGCAGCTCGCGGGTCCCAGGTGAGACCCAGGCCTCCTCCTTCCCAGGAATCTTCAGGTCTACCTGGGGAAGCACAATCTCCAGCAAAGGGAGAGTCTCCAGGAGCAGAGCTCTGTTGTCCGGGCTGTGCCTCACCCCGGCTACGACGCTGCCACACATGACCAAGACATCATGTTACTGCGCCTGGCACGCCCGGCCAGATTCTCTGTGCACATCCAGCCCCTGTCGCTGGAGAGAGACTGCTCGGCCAACCACACCAGCTGCCACATCGTAGGCTGGGGCAAGACAGCAGACGGTCAGTAGGAGGAGGAGGACTGGGGAGCAGCCAATGGGTCGTGGGTCCTGGGGGAGGTGGCCTAATGAGGAGGACCAATGGGGCAGTGTTTCAATGGGTGAAAGGTGACTTGGGAGGGAGGGAAAACCTGAGAGCAAACAGCCAGTGGGGAAAGTGGACCAGTGGGTCAGTGGTATGGAGAGATGGGCCGTCAGGTGAAGCGTCAATGAGGACGGGTCACTGGGGAGTTACGAATCAGGAAGGAGGCCAACCATTAAAGGAACCAATCAGGATGCAGTGATGATCCAGGATCAATGGAGGGTCTAATGGAAGAAGAGACATCAGTAAGGTAGTGGAACTACTAAAGGATGTGAATTGAGGGAACAAATGGGAAGGAGAAATACACTGGGGGAAGGACTGACTAGGAAAGAGTCGATGGTCAAGAGGCATCACTACAGGAAGGAATAAGTCCAACAGGTCAGCAGGAACCACTGCAGGTGGGCTTGTCACTGAAGGGCCAAAAAGGAAGGTGGACCCTTAGATAAAGGGCCAATAGGAAGGGTGAACCAATGGGAGAGGGTGGGGCCATTTAGGAAAGGACCAGTAGGGGGGGTAGACCATTGGAGAAAGGGCCAGTAGGAAGGGAGAGCCAACAGGGAAAGAAGGGGCCAATCAGGAAAGGCCAGTGGTCAAGTGGTACCCAGTCAGGATGAACCAGTGGGCAAGAGTTTCCAATGAAGGACAAGAGAGTGTAATAGGGGCGGGACTAATGGAGGAGGAGACTAAGATCTAGTCAGCTGGAACTACTGAAGAAGGGGGGACCAATGGAAGAGACAAGTGGAGGCAAGACCGAGAGAAAGGAAAACCAATAGGAAATGAGGACTCATGAAGAAGGGCAAGTAATGATGAAGATAGGCCAATGGGAGGGAAGAATGATGTGAAGATGGACCAATCAGGAGTCAGGGACAGCAGAAATGGGTTTAAGAATGAAAAACAAATAGGAAGAAGGGACCCATAAGGAAATAAGGACAAATAGAGAAGGGGGGACTTGTAGAGGTTGGAGGATCACTGGGGAAGGGCGGGTTGTGAGGAGGGCCTGGCCCGTGTCTTGGCAGGTGATTTCCCTAACACCATCCAGTGTGCATACGTCCACCTGGTGCCCCGTGCGGAGTGTGAGCATGACTACCCGGGCCAGATCACACAAAACATGGTGTGCGCTGGGGACGAGAAGTATGGGAGGGACTCCTGCCAGGTGAGGCCACCAGGACCTGCCAGCTACATAGTCCAGGACATAGCAGGCACAAAGAGGGAGAAAGACTCAATTCAACACACAGAGACACACTCAGGGGCAGGCAGAGATACCATGGACAGCCAGCCAAAACAGACAGTGCAGAGACAAGGATGGAAACGGAGAGACAGTCAGGAGGCAGATGAGGCGAGGGGATTGCCCTTTCTCAAACAGAGACCCCTCAAGTACGGCTTGGACGTGGTTATGCTTGAGTGGGGGGCCCAGCTTGGAAGAGAACGAGCTCCAGCCCCCCTCCCAAATACCTTTAACTTGGGTGTCTTCCACCATCATCCATCGGGTCTCCCCTCTTTATGCCGGAACTTACTGCAGTGCATTGAAGGGCCTGCAGAGATCAGACAAGAGGGAGGGGCAGAGAGAAAGTGAGTTGGACAGAGAGAAAGGGCAGGCAGACAAACCCTACTTCTTAGACTGTCTCTCTTTCTGTCCAGTTTTATTGAGGTATAATTGACACCCATCACTTATAAGTTTAGGGCATCCAGCAAAATGTTTGACCGACATGTATTGTGAAATGATCACCGCAATTAGCGTGCATCATCTCATAGACAAAACAAACTTTTTTCCTTGTGATGAGAACTCTTCAGATCCAACTCACCTCATGACTTCCTTCTATCCCGTCCAGCAGGCAGGGCTAGAGTCACCACACTGGCCTTACACCCCTAGCACTTCCTTATGTGACTGGATGTTTGGGTGTCCTTTCTTTAGATCTCTCTCTCTCTCTCTCTCTCTCTCTCTCTCTTTCTTTACATATAAATATTATATAATTTATATATATAAATTATAGTACACATTTAATAAATATAAAATTAGACGTAACATGTTTTATTATTTACATATAGATACTCCTCTCTCTCTGACTCTGTGTGTCTCTTCGTGTCCTCTGTCTCTATTCCCCTGTCTGTGTCTGTCTGTCTGTCTGTCTGTCTGTCTGTCTCACTCTCTCTCTGTTCCTGAGTCTCTCCATCTCTGAGTGCCTTTCTCTCCCTCTCCGAATATCTCTACATCTCCTTCCATCTCTCTGTCTTCCTCCCTTTGTATTTCTGTTGAGATTGTCTCCCTCTTTCCCACAGGGTGATTCTGGGGGTCCGCTAGTGTGTGGAGACCGTCTCCGAGGCCTTGTGTCTTGGGGTAGCATTCCTTGTGGGTCCAAGGAAAAGCCAGGAGTCTACACCGATGTCTGCAGATATGGCCACTGGATCCAGAAAACCATTCAGGTCAACTAACCCTGGCATGTGACACCCAACCCTTGACGTGTGACACCTACTAGCTGACTCCAGAATACCTCTGACCAGCAACCTGCCTCCCCTCCACGTGCCTAGATCCAGCCCTTAATGCTTAATAAAGACAGTGATAGTGCAGATTCTCCCTGATTTTACCCCTGGCCCATCCTTGCATCCCTGGGGGTGAGTGGGGATGTGGGCTAAAGTCTCCCGACCCCCACCCCCGCACTAAGAGAATACAGAAAATCCCTGCCATGTGTCTCTCCCTCCCTGGATATTCCGTGCGCTTGATTTCTCCCTGCAGAGGAGTGGCCACAAGTCTGGTGAAACCTGAGCTGGCCACTCAGCTCTGGCACTTGTTGGCTGTGCACCCTAGGGAAGCGCCGTCCTTCGCTGGCAGATTTCTTCATCTGTAAATAAGAGTGACAGCAGCATTTCCTCACAAGGTTTTGGCTGTTGTGAGGAGGATTCAAGATCCTAAGCACGCGAAACACATACAACAGCGCTTGGCACACCTGTTTGAACAATAAAGAGTGAATTTTATTTTTAGTGGTGCCTTTGTTTGCATCCAACTCCTGCTTCTCTGAAGCCCAGATGTTCCTTGTTCCCTTTTCCAACCCAGTTTGATTTTTCCTCCCCTCCTGGAAGACTTCCTTGACAGCTAGCCCTCAGGGGTGGCACTGTCCCTTACCCCACTCCTTGTAGCAGCTCTGGCAGGGAGCTAGAGGGCTGGGAGCCGTGTGTGGGCAGCGGTGGAGATCCGACTGGGAAGGATGGCAGGGACCGGATTGCAAAGGACCTCAGGCCCCAGTTTGAGAAGCTGGAGCTTTATCCTGAGGGCAACGGGGAGCCATGGAAGGTGGAAGCAGGACCAGTGTTGGGGCTGTGTGCAGAGAGCGGAGGCCAGGCAGGAGGTGGTACAGGGAGAGATGATGAGGGCTGAGCTGGGGTTGGGGGGCCGGAGCGGGAGACTGAAGAGGAGGTCACCCGCCATGTGAAGGTTGGGTGGGTGACATTCTCAGAGTGGGAAGGACCCACAGAAAGGTCTGGGGATGTGAGAATGTCTGGTGTGCTCCCAGATGGCAAATCATCCCTGACATGGGGAGCTGGGGCTTGAGGCAGGGCAGGTGGGTCACGTGGCTGGAAATGTGGGTCAAAGGGAAATGGTGCCAACTTGGCCTTGATCCTGAAGGCCTTGAGAAAAAGAAGGACAGGGACAGATCTGGGAATTAAACAATGTCACTGCGGTCCATTTGCAGGACAGGGGATGGGTGGGGGGTGGAGAGACAGGAGGTCCCCAAAGACGCGAGGGGAGCAGGCAGGCAGAGCTGGGCGAGGACCCAGGCTTCTGCATGCTTTTTGGGGCTCTTCCATGGGTATGTACCATGCATGATCCAAAGCAAGATACATTCCTCTCCTCCCAAGCCCCAAGGCTCGTCCTCAGAGAAGCCTTCTTTTCACAACATCCACTGCACCATCTCTAAGGAAAGCAAAACCACATCTAAGCCAGGTGTCCTCCCGGGGGCGAGTGGAGCAGGGAGAGGCTCCTAGACAGACAGCAAAGGGCCTGACACAGAGGCTGGCATTGGCAGCAGCGGAATATTTAGGAACAGAGGGAGCATCAGAGGTGACAATCCATCTGTTTCACCAATACTTACTGCAACCTTCTTTTTGCTCAGCAGACAGAGTAGGAAGGACTTGGAAGCTATTCTTAAGCAGAGTGGCTGTGCCACAGGAGCTCAAAGTCAAGGACGCATCGTTTTATGATGGAAGAGTGAGAATTTGAAAAGAATGGAATCCCTCTCTTTGAAAAGTCTTTCCAGTTGAAGAAAAAGCACACTTATATGTCTTAAGAACCAAAGAAGGGTGCCAGTTTATCAAAGGGATGTGATGGGAGGGAGTGGCTGATATTTACGAGTACCTGGAAATTTGAAGTGATGTGCACAGCCTGGGCCCGCCTTGACCAACCCTTAGAGAAGTCATGAGCAATAAGCAGAGGCATGAAGTGCACCGGGCTCACCAGGAGGGACCACCTGTGACCGGCCAGGCCAAAATCAACTGCAGTTAATTGAGAGATATTTATCTTCCGTAATGAATAATAATAATAAACACTCTTAGCACCTGCCAGGCACCATTCTAGGGGCTTTATATCTTAATTCACTTAATTCTCACAACGAGCCTCTGAGCTAGGTACCGTTACTGTTCCAAGTTTACAGATAGGGAAACTGAGGTGCAGAGAAGATCCATAGTCTCCCAGAGACTAGGCGGCCAAGCCAGAATTTGAATGCCAGGGGGCCAGCACCAGAGTCGGGAGTGGTAACTGCTCCGCTCTGTGGAATTGGTCTTCCATTCTGCTACGCTTTCAAATTGAGCATGGAAACGTTTAAAGACCCAGCCCTTAACAGGAATATTTTTTTGAAGCAGAATCCTGCAGGTTTGGAATTTAAGGTGCTATATGTCTCAGAGAATTATACCTGTTTTAGGGGCAGCCTTATGACTTCAACTTGAAATGGGTTATGGGTCTGCGATCTTTAATTTAGAGTCATATCAATTTTATATCCAGAGCTGGGATATTTGAAAGAATGTAACGTTGATCATTTTTACAAGTATAATATACATGGGGATGTGTCAGTTAAATGCTCCAAGAGCTTTATCTAAAAATTGAAGGACTCTCAGAAGAGATTCAATGTGATTTTTGGAAATGTCATTTAAAATGCTAGAAGATGCTTCATTAGCTTAGCTTGTAAATGGGATGAAATGTTATTATAAAGATCTCTCTAGAATAATAAAAAAAAGACCTATCTAGAATAAAGAGGCTTGTGAGCTCAACTTAAAATACTAAAAGAAAAATACGTTTCTGGATTTTTCACTTTAATGCATGCAATATTAATTGCAACAATCAAAATAGACCTGGGAATAGTTGTGGGTTTTTTCCCTGTACGCAGAAACCTGCCTCAAGAGCTCTAAAACCTCCCTCTCAAGAGGTGCTAGGTTACAGAAGTGAGCAATACATTTCAGTTTTTGCCCTCAAGGAAGGTGAGTTCCACAATGGCAGCCTCTCCAGGCACCTGTGTCCGTGTGGTTCACAGATAGCGCTCAGTCTGGCACACAGTAGGTGTTCAGTAAATTGGTGTTGAATGAGTGTTGAATAAGCTCTTATATCCTTGTGGGAACAGAGACTTGGAGACTCAGTGAGACAGATGTGGAATCAGGGGCAGCAAGAAAAAAGAGTGAGGATGGAGAAGGGGGGTCAGGACTGGGGAGGGAGAAGCCACTTTTGGGGCACCCACCCAGTGCCCCATTTCCTAAAGGGTCAGGAACCACCCATCCCTATCCTGGCCTCCTTCCCTATGAGCAGGTTGCCCTGCCCAGCTCTCTCACCCACACCTGACTGTGCCAGTAGGGCCAAAGGGGCCCCTGGACTGGGTCCCTGTGCCAACTGCAGGGTGAGGGGCAGGAGAAGGGGGTGAAGAATTCCTTGGCAAAGTGGCCTGAGTCTTCTCTGCCTAAAGGGCAGGGCGAGGGAGACGGAGGGACAGAGGGACAGAGAGACACAGATACTTAGAGCCAGTGGCACTGAGAGAGATTGAGAGAGAGAGAGAGAGTACGATGCGGAGACACAGAGAGGAAACCACAGAGACTGAGAAGGGTAGAAGCGCAGAGAAAAGAAAGATCCTGGGGAAGGACAGCTACAAAGAGAGGCCCAGGGGCTGTCGAGAGATTCCTGGGGAACCAGAGACACATAAGGGGACAGGGGAAACTTTGAGGGGTGAGGTGGAGGCTGGCCATCTCCACTGTGGTGATGGCTGGGTGTGCGGTATCTACCCCACATCAAACTGTCCACGTTAAACACGTGCAGCTTCTTGTGCCTCGATTGTACCTTGATAAACCTATAAAAAATAATAATAATAAAGCAGAAGCGAAGTAAAGGGGGGAAAACTTGAGCATTCCAATATACGCTTGACATAGAAAGCACTCACAATCATCAAAAAGACAAGAGAATCGTGGAGACACGGTTAAGGGCAAGATGCACAGACACAGAGAATCAGAGCGGGAGGGACAGGGAGGCCCGATGAGCAGAGAATGGGGGGAAGCCCGGGGGTGAGTGGAGAGACCCGAGAAGGGGCAGTGGGGGGCGCCTGACGAAGACAGAGACTCGGGGGATTCGGGGGGAAAGGGTCCAAGAGGGAAAAGACAGGCGAGGATGGAGAGACGGGAAGGTGGGGGGCAGGGGAGGCGGCAAGTGTGAAAGGCGCCGAGGACGGGAGAGGGAGAGAGCGCGAGCGGCGCGGCGGGGAGGGGGCTCCCCTGCGACCCCTCCCCGCGGGAGGAGCAGGGCTCGGCCTCGGGACTGGGTGCGGGGTGCTCCGGGGGCGGGGGCGGGGGAGGCAGGAGGAGGGATTGCGGAGCCCCGGCGGGCGCCTCATTCCCCGGGAATGCGCCCCGGGGATCAGTGGGTGGTTATAACCCAGGCCGCGTGCCCGCAGCCGGGGAGGCGGCAGCACGACTGCGCGGGCCGAGCAGTCAGCGCTGAGCCGGATCGGTTCCCCGCCACCTGCCGGCCTGGGGGACGCTGCCGGTGAGGCCTGGGGGAGGGACAGGAGGGAGAGGGGCCTGAGCGTCGGGCTCCGGTCGCGCCGACTGGAGGGGGGCTGGATGCCTGCTCCTCCGAGTCCCCGGGTCTCGGCTCCTCCCTGTGGGTGGGCAGGCCTCTTGGTGCTCTCTGCCTGGGGAATCGGGGTCGGGAGGAAGGCGGCTGGGGTACAGACTCCCAGGATCACCTGGGCCACGCCACGCTCAGTCCTCCCCGCACCAGGTGCAGTGGCCATGGCTGCTGCAGGATCCGCCTGGACGTGGATGGTCGGCGCCCTGGTCGCAGCCCTGATTCTGGGAGTGACAGGTAACCAGAACCCGTCTGTGCGCCTGCCGGCTGCGGATGGGATTGTGGGCATGTCTCTGAGTGACACTGGAGGGCTTGTCACAGGGGGACTGTGTGTGACTGGGTATGGCTGCAGGCTGGGTGAATGTGACTCACAGTGTCCCGTATTGCAATCGTGCAATTGTGTGTGACTCTGTGATTGCCACCGTGTGTGTGTGTGTGTGTGTGTGTGTGGTGCCTTTTCCCATACTGTGTGTCTGTCAGTGACAGTCGGGACTCCCCTTTGAGGCTGTATATTGATTATGTGACTGGGTGTGTGGGCATTTAGGGTCCTGTGGGTGCTTGTACACATGCTGTAAATGCTACTGGGTGTGTGGTTGTGTATGGCTACTTGGTTCTATGTATGACTGCAGCTATCTGGGGTTCCCATCCCCGTGTCAAGGGATTGCCTGTGACAAAAGTGTTGGTGTCCATGAAAATGTGTGGTTAGGCGCTTGTGGAAAGCTATTTGTCATTTTGAGCTTGGAGCTGGGTGCCAGATTGTGTGTGGCTGTACTGTGACCCCGTGGCTGGCTGAGCTCCTTGGGGATGTTCGCAGGGGGCTGTATGTGTGCGTGCAGTTCCTGTCCCTGCCTTGAGGGACTGAGTGTGCAGAAGCGGCTGTCCCTGTGAGACAGTGACAGTGTTACGGAGGAAGATGCTGGGTGACTCGCACTGAGCCATGCCGGATCCTCTATCCCCAGGCCAATATGCCTGTTTGCAGAAGGGTAGGTGACAATCTCTACATCTATGCATATGTGGCCTGGGTGCATGTCACTGAGACCCTTTGCGTGGGTGGGAGCGCTCCTGCAAGGCTGCCCCCGAATGTGTGCTCCGGGCAGTGTGTGCACCATGAGATGGAACTGCAGGAGTAGCTATTCATGTGGAAATACCGTGTGTCTGTGTAACTGTGTGTGTGCTTGTCTGTGACAGCTGTTGTGTGCCTGTTTCTTGGAGTGTGTCCATAAATGAAGGGCTTCGCTCCTCTGGGCCGTCAGCAATAAGATGAAGGCGTGAAAGAGACTCTGGGCCCGGTGATGGAGTGGGATCTGCAGCCATCTGTAGGGAAGAGGGTATTAAAAGGAGGATTCAGGAGGCACATCTGTGTTTGAGAATTCAGGAAAACAGCCGTGCTCTCTCTCACCATGGGACCCCCAAAGTCAGCGCTTTCCCGGTGCTCACAGTTCTTGCTCCGCCCCTGAGCTTGACTCCGCTCCTTTCCTCAACCGCATCCCTGGACCAGACCTTATCTAGTCAGGGTCCCTTTGGGTCGTGCCCGCCTTCCCTGTCAGGCACCGCCTCTGTGGCTCCCCCTCTTTTGGCCGGACTCCTCCTGAGGTCTTGTCTGCAGCTCCTTAGAGCCCAAGCTCCACATCCTTTCCCAAAGTCCCAGGGCTCTTTGCAGACTCGGCCTCTCCACGTGACCCAGGCCTCGGCTCTGCTCCCGCACCTCAGGCTCTGCTGCCTGCAGCCCGCACCCCGTACACTGAGGCCTGACCCGGCTTCTTAAGCCTAAAGCCCTGGTCCGCGGGCCGTCCGTAGGCTCCACCCCCTGAAACCTTGGCCCTGCCCCCGAGGTGGTCCAGTTTTCACCCTCCCTGATCCCGCCCACTCAGCTCTAGCTGCTGCCCCGAATCCTGAGTTCGAGGCAGAGTCCAGGCTCGGGCGGTAACTCTGTCCTCTGACTTCTCGGCCTCCCTCCACCCTCTGCGGTTCCACACCTGTTCTCCGGCCCCTCCCCTCAGCCTCGCGCCCCCGGGGCTCAGCCCTCCTCTGGCTATTCCCGCCTCCTGAGCCTATGACCGGCTCACATCTGCCCCCAGAGCCCGTTCTTGCAAAGGATGTTTCCTGCGACCACCCTTCCACCGCCGGGCGTTCCAGGAGCAGCCGGGACCTTGAATCTGGGGCCGGGGAGGACGGCGGGGCGGACGGCGAGACGGACGGCGATTCGGAGGGCAGCAGCAGCCGCATCGTGAACGGCACCGACTGCGAGCTGCACTCGGAGCCGTGGCAGGGAGAGTTGCTGCAGCGGCCCAGCCAGCTGTACTGCGGGGCGGTGCTGGTGCGGCCGCAGTGGGTGCTCACCGCGGCGCACTGCCGGAAGCCGTGAGTGGGGCTCCGGGGCGCGCGGGACGCCGCGGAGGGACACGCAGGCCGGCGGGGTTGGGAAGGAGAGCCGAGGGGAGGTACGGGGTTGGGGGGCTGTTGGATTAAGGGCGTGGCTGGGGAAGAGGGGCAGGGAGATAGCGATGGGTGGGTGCGGGGCTAGGGATGCATGTGTGAATGAATGGTCCAGAACGACGGTGTGATGCGTCTCGGCTTCAGAGCTGGGGCGGAGATGAAGGGGGCTTGGGGCTGGGGTGCCTGTACGAATGATTTGGGACGGTGGGATGGAATTCGGATTGGCCCTAGTATTGCAGCTGGGTGGAGATTGGGCTGGGTGGAGATAAGGAGGGAGATAAGGAGGGAGTTGAGAGGGGTTGGGACTGGGAATAGATGTAGGATTGAGGATGGGGTTGGGATCAGAGTTACAGGTGAGGCTGGGGATGGTTGGAGACTTGAGGCTGGAGATGGTTAGATCTGCGGTGGGGGTGCATATGCTGGTGGTTTCTGGGGAAAGGCTTAGGGTGAGGGATCCCCCCAAGATGGGTGGGGCGGAGCTGCCGTTGGATGCGGGCATAGGGGTCAGGGTCGGTGGTGCTCCGCGCCGTCTCCCTCAGATTTTTCAGAGTTCGCCTTGGCCGCTATTCCCAGTCATCCAACTATGAGTATGGGCAGCAGCTGTTCCGGGGGATCAAATCCATCCCCTACCCTGGCTACACCTACCCTGGCCACTCCAATGACCTCATGCTCATCAAGCTGGACAAAAAGGCCCGTATAACTAGGGCTGTTAGGCCCATCAGCATCTCCTCACATTGCCCTTCTCCTGGGAGCAGCTGCTTGGTATCTGGCTGGGGAACGACCAGCAGCCCCCAGGGTGAGTGTCCAGGTCCCTTGACGCCCACTCACGTCTGCTTCCTCCTCCTTTCTGCCGCAGAGCGCAGTGCCTTCCTGTCTTTCTCCGTGGCTCACAGTGGCCCTGCCCTGCATGTCTTTGTTTTACAGTGAACTTCCCCAGTGTCCTCCAGTGCTTGAACATCACTGTGCTAAGTGACGACAGGTGCAGGAAGGCCTATCCGAGACAGATAGATGCCAGTATGTTCTGTGCTGGTGACAAGAAGGGCAGAGACTCCTGCCAGGTAAGGCTTGAAACCTCTCCATTCATTCAGCATGCACACACGGAGTGCCAACTGGGTATCCTGGAAACTTGCTAAGCGCTGGTGACCTAGCAACGGCCAGATCAATGGGGACCCCTGCCCTCACGGAGCTCATATTCTGGAGCAGTACTGCTCAGAGATATGATGGGAGCAGTACATGTAATTTAAAATTTTCTAGTAACTACATGTAAAAATGTAGAAAAGCAACAGGTGAAATGACCTGTTTTATTTATTTATTTATTTATTTATTTATTTATTTATTTGACTCACAAAGAGAAACATTTTTATTTGACAAACTCATTCAATATAGCATATAATTATTAAAGTCCTCACCTTCATGAGCTAACCTAGTCATAATATAAATGTCTTGAGTATAGAAAGTGTGATTCTTCATTTACTATACCAAAATATTCTCAGAGGTGCAGGGAATAATCTTTGCAATTCATTCTATGATTAACATAGATTTTTTTATTATCATTAATCTACAATTACATGAGCAACATTATGGTTACTAGACTCCCCCCATCACCAAGTCCCCCCCACAAACCCCATTACAGTCACTGTCCATCTGCGTAGTAAGATGCTGTAGAATCACTACTTGTCTTCTCTGTGTTGCACGGCCCTCCCCGTGCCCCCCCAACATTATACATGCTAATCGTAATG